TCACTTTATTTGAATTGCTAAACTCCACTGAGATAAACACTCTGAACTGGTCATCTCTGTCCACAGCATATACCACATAATTTTCATCCTCATAGCCCATTTGGCCTTATCTGACTTACTTCCGGTGAAGTAAGGTTCAGGGCGGTAAGCGAACGTGGACAGCATATGTCGCTGGTGATAAGTCTACCACTGAACCACCGAAGCATAGTATCAAATAAATCACAACGGAATTCCACCTCAGAATGTACATTTCATAGCGAACGTATAAAAACTCTCCTTCTCAGTTTATTCAGTGTGTCAAAAATTATTTCTGGTTTACTTGTAAGACAAAAGGCGTACAGCATCATATCACAAAATACAGAGTTTCATGATCTGCTTCTCTTAAAATACAAAATGGAGGCAAACTGGCAAATGTCATTTTGGTGAAGCAGATAGGAATATTGAATGAATAAGTTGAAAAGTGATGAGATGAAGAGAAGTTCCTCCTTCAAGATTTTTTCTTGGAGATGATTCTTGAAACAAAAAGGATTATTTATCATTGGGGATTTCAATATGCCTGTGAGAGGAAAGATCAAAATCCGATTGTCACAATAATTAGTCATTCCAATATTAATTCAGCAACACTTTGTCGTTAATATATATTTACTTCTCGGTGGAAACCGTAAAGTGACATACGACTCGAATTGAAAGAAACGAGTGTGGTACATTCCAGTAGTAGCCACTAGCGAATATACAACCAAAGTTTGATTACTCTGCACTAATCGATGTCTTTTGATTCATTGTAAAACTTCTTAAACACTAATGATCTCATTATAAAGTTTTTATACCTTATAAAGTTATAAATTATCAGAGAAAAGTGTAACCAGCACAACTTCGTTCATTGGAAGTAGTTGTGCCATCTTGAGGACAAACCTCAACAGAAGCCATTTCAGCCATTTGAACTATATTAAGATAGACACCTGCTGAATCCTTGACATGAAACACAGAATTGCTTGAATTATTATTCTTTCAATTCTGATCAAAAAGTAACTTCATTCAAAGAAACATTATAAATTGAAGAGTACTGGACAGCTGTTTTGCTGTCGTTTGAGATTTTTCGGCACACTTCACCTTATCCAGGATTGGAACTTCAGAGTAAGAGGCCACTGAGATGGACTCCACTGATTGAGGCATGAATCCAAACTTCTGTCATTTTTGGGTATTATATAACATGATCACCAATCAGCATCACTGGTGAGTATTTCTCCTCACACCACACATGGTGCCCCTCGCGAGTTACGACTTCTCATTACAGCGTTAGGCACAGTCATCCTGTAGTCAGCCAGTCAGAATAAGCAGTTTCAATTAGCACTGATAAACCATTCCATTTTGTTATCACTAATTTTCACAGGTAAAGCAGAGTAAGACATTGAAACATTCAAATTTTATTTTAATATACATAAATATTTCCATGCATAAATTGAATAGTGTATTCCTTGCAGTAATGTAACCAATGTATACGAGCTGAACAACAGTGGAGTATGCAGGATGACTGGAAGGGCTCCTCGTTCTAAATGAGGACATTTCAGTAAGGGTTGTCTTTCACAGCTGTGAGAATTAAACTTTACACATTACAGTTTTCAGAAGGGAAATTTACTATGCATCGGCGGCACAGTGGTTAGAGATCTCACCGACCATGCAAATGGTCTGGGGATCGATCCCCTGTCAACGCAGACCTGATATCAGTAATTGGCCTGCAAAATTTGGGCTACCGATATCAAATACGAAAAAATTCCATACTTGTACAAAAAAATACGGTCTGAAATCAAGCTGTAATCAGAAATGAATAAATACAAAAATAAAAATGAAAGAAATCCATTTCTCACAAATCCGACGACAGAATTACACAAATGCTTAATATATCATGGATGACCAAACAGGGGGAAATTGTGGCAATAAAAAAATCAGTGTAGTCCAACAAATTCTCGGAAGGAAATTGAGATATATTGGACATAAGCTGAGCAGACAGTTGCGTTACATCACACGATAGGTCTTTCGGTTGAACCTGGATTGGAAATGACCACTTGGACATGACAGTGTGGCGTGGAAAAGCTCGTATAGAGGTAATGGAGTATAGGTGGTCATACAGCCAGCTGTATATGCTGATGTACTCTTCAATCCACTTGAAACCCAAGCGAACAATAATATAATAATTGAAGTACCCCACAGCGGTCACAATTCCTAGTAGATATCTGACATTTCTTAACTTAGTCATTGCAAATTTTGACGTAATGAATGAAGGACATTAATTGGAAAACAGTTTAGAAGAATAATCAATAAAATTTCATGAACTGACTCTCTTGTAACCTGAATTATCTTAGGAAGAGCATCTTATGAGGAGTTTTTGCTCTCCCGCAATATTTTGTAATCTTCAAAACTTTCACCTCTATTTATTTTAGAAATGAGGATTATTCTAAGTGAGTTATTTTGTCACTGGTAGTCTTAGCTATAAAAACCTTTAATTGTTCAACCGCCGAACTTTGTACAAACCACGATGTTTCTACATTGGATTCTTTCATTTCATATTTTAATAGTTATTGTCTTACTCTTTTGTAATGCAAGTGGAACTTAAGGCTTCAGGCGCAAAGTTTGAATTTTCAGTCGTAAAGGTGTTCGTTTGTTGTTATCCTCACGTTCAAACTACCCTCTTTACTTGGCTCGGTATTGCCTTACAGAGGTTTAAGTTTCCGTGAGCAGGGAATCGAACTCTGGATCGAGTGCTTGTTTAGCGGACACTTTACCACTGATCCCCTCATTTATACAAACCAGAGATTACTGTGCATGTATTTTGTCTGAGTTTGGGGTAGTTTAGCCGTACGCACCTAATGGCTTCTAAAATCAGGACTTTCCATTAAGAAGACAAGCCTGTAGACCATTCAGCCACTAGAACACTTTTGCGTGTATAACATAAATATATATGCGTCTAGTGACCACATTTCACTTCCATTCCACCTTGTGAATTTGTGGTAATTTGCGCATATAAATGGCTGGATATTTTCCTTGAATACTCCTACGTTCTTTATTATTTGAATGAGTCACAGTAGCACCAGTTTTTCGAATTAAGGCATTCCTCATTTGTACGCAAACAGCTCCCATCAAAATGTTAGTGATGAATTCAGTTAGAGAAAGAATCAGTCAGATAGTACACTAGTAAGGTAAACATGATTTATGTTAGTATATTTTAAGAACTATGAGACTACTGAATTATCAGCTGATACTCATATTATCAGTAAGGATGCAGACTGACCAAGGATCGAGTCCTTGCATTCAGTGTCATCAATTAACAGAAAATCCAAAATAATAACCGATACCCACTCCGAAATGACGTCGTTCGTTTCCCTTGGTGTCCTAGTGAATAGCGAAACGATAGGTTCAGCGTTTCAGTCCGTTTAGAAATATCATCATTCCATGCGGATGCAGATGCGTACGAATGATAAGCCCTGAAAAAGACAAAACGTGCGTCTTGGATTCCATAGCACATCATCCCAGAGCAGGTGAAGTTAACTGAAGTTGACAGTTACCAACTACACTTCGCTCCTAACATGTGAGGTCCTCGTTGATTAGCGGTAGGAAGATGTTACTCTAATTAAAACGGCCATCACCAATTCCGCATCTGTCAACTGTACAGCAGTTTGCGATTAAACTGATATCAGTTGGTCAGAATGTCGAAATGACTAAACTTCAAACTCCTAAGCTGAAGAGGACTGGTAAGAGCAGAAATCACAGTTGGTGAATCGTAATGGTTATAATAATAATAATAATTACCACCATTGTATGTGGCCCTCTTTCTTCGTTTCGTCTCCATGAACTTTATACCTGACTACATGCAGATTATCACTATCATCAACCAGCATCAGTTGGAGACGGTTGAAAACCAGGAAACACTAGACATCTGTTTCGTTCAATTTTGTGAATGTCCATCGGAGAGAATATACTACCTCGGCATGTACTGAATGCGGGACTTTCATGTTAAGAGACCAAGCCGAATAATCATTCAGCCAGTTGCGCAGGAGCTCAAGCACCCGTAAATTCTTTTTTTTTGTTAATTTGTGATATAGTGTTAATCTTACAAATGGCTTCTATGAACACCCACTTCCCCTTGAAATGGCGAACTGCAGTGGCCACGAGGTAATCTAGTGACTGAAATTAATTCCGATCCCCACAATTCCTATAATCCAACTCTTCGAATAAATCATCCTTCATACCACTCGCGTCTCTTCATAAATCGTACACATCACAGTTCAATTGAAGAATGCATCGGCGTGTATCCAAGGAGAGTCGGTTCAATAATCGGTGATCATTTATGCCATATGCAAGACTTTATCTCATTATAAATGAGTTTGTTTTGAGTGAACCCTAAGGCATTTGTAATGTCAAAAATCGTTGTCCATCTAGATGAGATCAACTTTGACATATTTCACACATATACACAGCGAGTTATAAAATGTTTTCAATTTTTCTAACCAGACTGGCAATTGTCATCGGATAGTAAGTTGTTGTTATAATCGATTTACATTAGTGACTTAACTGCTATTCTCCTCACTAATATTGCGTTTATGATCATAAGTATACGATCTACAAGGTGCTGATTACTTCCTCAGGGGATTTCAGCTAATTGGTTATAGTAGTCAGAAACTAAATACTAATCATTTGAACAGCATAGATACACTAGTGGGTGGAACATTTGGCTTCAACATGAAACTGCAGTTTTCACTCTAGTTTCTCTAGTCTCATTCAGCCGACTTCACGATTGCCAACAAGGGCCTTCGTTTCATTCTCATATAGTTTTTTCTGTGTCAACCTGTAACCTACGTCCAACACGTTATTCCCCATTGGAGGGCCTCGTTCAAAGAAAAACCTCATAAAAATTTTTGAAGTTGACAATTTACTGGCAGACATCTAAATAATAAACAACGCTGATGTCATTATGTGAAACATGGCAAAGGACTAAATTGCCACGAATGACGTCATCGCTTGGGCATTCAACATACATACAAACTCAATTTCTTGCTTCATCTCTTTTTTTATTCAGTGATGGCGGGTAAGTGCAATAACTCAACGATGCTATTCATTGTCACTGGTTGTTTATTTGCTTACTATGACCCTGAGATGCACTTAAACAAAATCACTATGATTGTCTATTGAATACCGTCGCTTAAATGTTTCAAGTTTCATTTCCGCATTATCTGACATGACAGGAAGAAGGCTGTTGACTAATGCTACAATCCAAATCCCACCATCACCGGGATAAATCAAAGTGTAATTTTCAAAAATTAAAAGTAAAACATTACAGTGACAAGACAAGGGAGCATGTGATAGGAGAAGCTTTTAAACTATCCAGAAGACTGGATCTCAGAATGAACAGGAATCTTTAACAGAAGTTTGAGGTGCCTGCATTAGAAGAATAAGTGACATAATTTGTGGTATAAAATGTACACACTTCATCTAGAGGCATCTGTTAAGACAGAGGATTAACAAGTTAGTGAACATACAGATTTTTATTCTATTCACTGCGTTAAGCCCTCGAGTGGATGGGAGTACAACTGAAAAACGGTGAATAAGGCGTCCGAGGACAATAAGAAGGAGATCGTGTAAGAGGAGATGCGAGCTTATGAGCAATCGTGGAGCAAGCTGAAGAAGACTGCAGGAAACAGGATTTAATGGAGATGTCCCAATAAATCTTTTGTCCACTTGAAACCCAATGGAATAATCATGTGATAATCCAAGAAAGAATCTCGATATGATTTGTAATCAGTTAAGTGGGTGAAGAAAATTATTACACTAAAAAAGACAATACGTGATTACTCAACAATTGAAATAATATGGCTTCTTTTATTATACATTGGCTAGTTTTAAGTGGTTTGATAGTAGCGGATTTCACAAAACGAAGGCTGGATTTCTTTGCATATTGATTTTGGTAAATGTAGTTGGAAGACAGACTCAGTGTCCCTATTCAATTTTAATTCCGTAAGTGCTGCAAGTAAAAGTCTGTGGAGTAATGAGTCTCAGCCTCTCTGAAATGTGTTCCGAGAAGAAAATGGTGATTTCCTAGCTCATTATCGCTTCAGTTAACTTGCTGTGAAATGGACGCTTAAAAGTGTAAATAGTTTGAGGGCAGCTGTCAAATTCCGATTGATGAATACGATGACTATGATTGTAAACAGCAATGAATTCAGAAAGGCCCAGTATTTTGCTTATTCGCACTGACGTATGATCTCTTGTGAAGTTAAACTGCATAATTCTTCTCTAAAGATGTTTGACCCTTCGCGTAATCTACCTTCGGAACAACATTGTGCTGCACTCTCTTACTCATTCAAGTTTCTGTCTGAGTAATTACAGCTGAGATGTTATGCAATGTACAGTGGAGCTGATCTTCACGAGTGATACTAATCAGCACATATCGATCTTGTTTTATCTATTTTTTTATCTTGAAGTGATATTGATCAGTATATTAGAAGTTGATTCTCATGGTGAAGTCACTTGTCTCCTGTCGTACAATCTCTAACCGCGCTGATTGTGAATAACTAATGATTCTGTTAAACATTTACAGGCCTGAGTAAGTGTACAGTTTAAACCAACATCCTAAAAGTGTAACGGATAATATTCTTCACATGAAAAGTGTTTGCTGTAGAACTATCACTTCAGAGCAAATTAAAACTTCTAGTCTTTAACTGTCACACTTTGGAGAAGCAGACATTAAAGTAGAGGAAAGAGCTGTGGCTGAGTTGGAGGAAGAACACCTAGTAGATGCGAATGCACCAATGACTCCGAAACGAACAACTACTCTGATGAGTCCATAGCCCGTCCATACTCCCAATCTTTTCCATGCCTGACCTTAACCTATCCCTATACATACCCTACCCTAATCTATCCCTAACCTAACTCTGATCCTTATTTTCTTCCAACCTAGCATTTAACTGACCCAATATCCTTACAAAATTCTTACATTGCCTTCAGCGCAACTTTTGTATCATTATAGTAATCTATATCTGCTTTTACTGCCTTAAATTGGATATTAGGTGCAGTTGGGTTACTTGGGTGTCTTTCCCTTCGTTTCATCACGATTGCTATCCAGCTGCAGTGGAAAAAGTCGGACGAGACAGACAGAGAATAATTAAATGAAAGCTGGTAAGGGTTTTGAGAAGCTTTATCTGTGGTGGAAGAAATTTTCTGAATCAACCCTTCACTTTCAAGTGTACTGGAAGACTAAGAGGATATACCTGGGGAGACTTCTATAAGCTGATTTCATAGGATTCTCCTCCGAAGAGATGTCGTTTAGAAAGAAAATAAACTCTTCACAGCTAAGCCATCCAGCTCAGAGAGCACAGCTTTGTTTTTTATTTCTATTTGTGTATTCTTTCTAGTTCCCAGTGGAATAAAGGGCTTCACACTTCAGATTTGAAGTTTTAGTAGCACTGGCTCAATTTTCATTCAGACCTCACGCCTAACCATCATACTTTACCAGACTTGTTATCGGCTAGGTAGGGTAGGGGAATGCGTTTGCGGCGTATAAAACTACGGGCAACATGCAAGGTCAGCGGGTCTTATATTATTCTCAAGTCTACAGACTCGGTGTAGTGACCAATCCACTGTGAGCCCTATTCATCCCCTCCGGTAAACTAACGTTTATACAAATTTTGACATTATAGGCGGAGATTCCTTAAAGATGTGTAAGTGTACGATTAAATACAGATATTGGTGTATATTGAAAGCATCAAATGTTTTTTAAGAAAGTAAATTCAATGTTCAATTTCTCTCCTATTTCGGCTTTTATCAAGTGAACAATGTAGCTCATTTAAAATCTTCGTAAAACTAATATGGAAATTTAAAATATTCCATATTTGATTGTATGGTTTTCTATGAAATTAATTACTGGTTAACGTGGTTGCATCGAAACTTGGAGATTCTGGTTCCGGTGGGTGGTTGAGAAAAGGAAGGTTGTTACTTAACCCCGAACAAGCTTAAGTATTCTACCCTGTGCTTCATGAACCTCAATGTTTCTCAAATTATTGTTGTTACCCTGCGAAACTTACCATTTTTACATGAAATTCACTTGCTCTAAATGTAGTCAATTAAGGGAAGCTGTCCAGTTTTATTTTGTACTCTTCATCTTGGCTATCTAAGACTACTTTCGGCATTTATACGTGATCCAACCACTTGTGAAAACTGATCCAATCAACTTTTGGTTGACATGGTTTTCGCTTCCTTGTGGAGATCGGGTTGATGATTAAAGCTTTGAGACAAATAATTTCAGCGTTGAATTAGCGAAATATCCAGAAATACCTACAGTATTAAGTAAAAATATTTCATAGTCTGAAAGGAAGTGTTAGACGCAAGACATTTTTCAACTGAAATAACACGAGATTTAGAGGTGTAACCCTGCATTATTTTCTGATAACTATTTAGGCTTCAAGATATGGCGTATATGTAAGTGCCAATGAATTATGATTGAATTTCATTACACAATGAAAACTTCTAATTAAATTGAGACTCCACCAAAAGAATATTTCGATGTGGTAATTTGTTCTTTTTACACCAACATTGTTTTCATTTGATCTAAAACAGACACTTTTTATTCTGAATATTTCAAGGTTTTTCCTTACTACTAAAAGGTGAGTTTTTGAAGAGTTATTCTGTAAGGATTTGACTGGTTTCAAGTTTAATCAATGATTGTACTCAGTTATGAATGTCTCTGAAAGTCAGGAAGAAGTGGATAGCTTTTTTCCGAATCTGTATATGCACTTCAGTTTATAAAATGTCCCCTTCAAGAGTAATCTTTTCTATGGGTTCAACAAACTTTCTGGTGCTATAGAAAATAGCCTCTTCACTGGTTAAATAAAATAGTTGACTGTTCTGAGTTATTAACTGTTAGACAAGCAACAGAAATGGAGCTACACAATAAGTTGGGCTGCTAATCTTCTTATGAACTGGTCTGAATTATTAACCAACGTCAACAATGTACATAGCAACAGTTGATTCCTACTGAACATGGCTCACTAAATTTCAATGGTCACATTTTGTTTTTAGTCGTGATGCAATGAGGCAATAGTAAGTTCATTATAATTCATCTTAAAAGGATATGCGTTCAGTATTTCACCAAGTCGATATGTTTGAAAATTATGAAACACTAGACGTATCTATCATCTTGACTTGATACACTTCATGGTGATTATCTCTCAAGACGTACAATGGCTTTTGTCGTTTACTCGTGATGTGGTTGGTTTCAAGACAGACTTAATCACAAACCAATGTCAGTTAAGGATTTGTTGAAAGCTGAATAGCTGTTCCTTCCGATTTTGGTGCTGCCAGTACTGAAGCCTGTGAGTCAGTGGGCCAGCAGTCGAACACTAATCAACCATGCACGTGTTTTCGGGTCCAACACCTACACCACGCACACCTAAATCTCGCCAGGTTGGATGTAAGCCGGGCATGGAGGGACAATAAGCTGAGTGGCCAGCCGACGTGCCCGTTAAAAATGAAACCACTGCTATCAAAACATCAGTGCTGAAGCCTACAGCTCAAAGTTCCACTCGCAACTCGTAAAATTAAAATAAATAAATAAGGATTAAAGTAGGGACATTAAAGTTGAAAAGTGAGAACGGTAATGTTCAGTGATTGGTTGGTAATCCTAATGCCCAGCATCCCATATATGCACCGTCGTATATACAAGAAATTTCGCGGATTTTGACAAACATTACTGAAATTGGCCATATGTTTTTAAGTTATGGAGGTTCATCTCATTATAGCCTTGAATATGGAAGATACAGTGATTTGTCAAGATCACTTCGTTGCAAGAGAAAAATTGCTTGTGCAGGTGTAATACAACCTGGATCATCTCGTTTGATGCATAGATCTCAGAAATAAGTAGTATTGGTGTGCGATGACTGTTCACAATACACCGAATTCCTCACACAAGTCTTCTGTTCCACTGTTTTCAGAGTACGTGTAGAACAGCAGACCATCAGTACACATACTAAGAATCTTTTCCGTGTACAATTAACAAAGTATTATACATGTAAAGGAGCCCAACCCGAGCAACTTTACTTCAAACCATTTTACATCAGAGAAGTCTATTAGGACTTATTAGGGAACTAATGAATATTTAATAGTCAAATGAACGAACAACTTCATTGAGATAATGACAGGTCGATACTACTTATAAAACAGTCAACACTGCAGTAACAATTTGCCCATCTATCAAATTATTACTGATAAGAAAATCAGTGTTAAATTAAACTTTGCACATCAATGCAGTCACATTATTTTATTCATTCTACACTTTCTAATTACAGCTATAGAATTAGTCATCCGGCGTAAGTAGCATGATTTGCTGGACATTTTTTATTTCCTTTACAGACATATACACACAGTTTGATATCATCGTATTTCAATATCACGTTGCAGTTATAAAGTAACTAAATGAGTATAACACGATCAGGGAGGAATAAACTTGGATGTTGTGGTCACTCTGACTGTGTAATAGGTGGAACGTTTCTCACTCACTTTCTGCAGCAGCATTTTATGCGGACCAACATCTTCAAATCCCTGAATGGGGATCGCTTTTTGTTACAGACCTGAAGATAAACCCGTGAAGTTAAAATACTTTGGATTATTTAGGAAGTCTTCTATCCCAAGAGAAGCACGACGTCCACTGGCGAGGATGTGAACATGTTCTACACCCGCGCAAATTCCCTTTCCTATTTTATAATCATGTGCATGCATGTCATTCAGGCCCACAGTGTTTACGTATACATCATCTGTGTGTATTATTACACGTTGCTCAGTGTCCATATCCAGTGCAGTAACATCCCTGCCGCAACCAAGAAATCTCCTTACTATCCAGCAGAATGATCTTCAGTATTTATTCTAATTCCTCCTTCAATATAGTCAAATGGGACATGCACAACCTCACGTCTGTCAGTCATCAAGGCAGCTAATACCTTCTCTGCATATATCCAGACTGTATTCTATGCTTCCCTCAGTGAGTCTTCGATGAACACTATGCTAACGACTGTTCATCATCGGATTTACTGTGGGAGTTGACCTCAAATATATGCCTTAGCGGCTGAATTACATTCAAGGTTCTCATGACAAATTTCGTGTCTTCATCACACGGAGATTTTTATGCAAGTTCTGACGTAAGTTTCTGCTTACGATCTTAGTGTCTTTGTCGTATTATCTCTCAGCCATGATGCGGAACGAGACATCGTTTAGGAGTGAGACGGCTTATGGGTAGGAGGAGATCACAGACAGTTTCTTTGAAGCAATTGAGAATAAATTCAACATTTCCTAGTCGCACAGTGTTGCCGGTGTAAGACAACTCTAGCTGACTGACTTGTTCTTAGTGAAGTGATATAAGTAGGTGAAAAATTTCTTTTGATAAGAAAATGCTTTGAAAAGGATTGAGAGAAATAGAGAAGTCATTCATCTCTACCTTTAGCAAACAGTCATGATATGTAGGCGTTATTCCTATGGGAATAATTTAGTTGGGATTATTATGAGAAGTCTCCAATAATCTTTGAAGACAATTGAATTAACAACCTCACTGAATATTTGTACATACATGTATAAACCTCCCTTGGATTCTAAATGGAGAAACAGGCTTTAACAACAAGACGCCATTGCACTATGTTATCTGCAGTCTGCTCTAGCTGATTCCGAAAGTGACCATCAACTCTGATTTCCTTCTCAGGCTGTCTCCATTTAACCCTGGAACCCATTCTCAAATCGTCGTCTCCTATTCGCGTTTCACTCAGGACTTGGCATGATATCTTCAATAAAGTTCCATTTCGCGTTGATTAACGTGGTGAGACGAATAAATAGTTGGCTGGTAGAAACCTAGTATAAAACAGCATAATTTGAACTCTGACGTGATCTTTCAGCAGTCAGGAATATGATTTGATTGGAAAACAACTCCTTCCATTCTCCTTTCATTCTTGTATCTGCTCGTGAAATAAAAGAATTCACTGGCGATGTTACTGTTTCCACCAGGTGGGTTGAACTCTTGTAAGCTATGCCAGCTTTCGGAGTACTTCGGTCAGAATTTCGACTCAGATGACATGAGTGACTGACACAAATTCTATCGTAGTACTGCTAATTTTCAATAGCTATTCTCAATGTGATATGAAAGCGCTTTAGTACCTTATTAAATGCAGACAAGCGTTCTATGAAATCCGACCCAATTTATTTATCAAAATATGTTTTAGACTGAATAATTTATAATGCTGTTTTTAACCTAACATTCGTAGGTGCTTCATTCATCAAACTTTGTAAGTCATGTAAATGTTGTTTAGTAAATATTATCCAGGACCACTTAGAAAATGATGATATTCTCAGTATTTGGCTGGGACCCAAATGAAGGATAAGCCAGATAGTTTTGCCACGTCAATGTGTTTTTAACAATACAGCTGCTCTTATCGTCACACTTATGTTGGATGTACTACTAGACAGCTTAGCCAACGCATTACTCAACACTCACCATCGTGGTTTGACAGGGGACAGGCAAAACAATCCCTAGCTCAGTTTTATCGCATTCAGTTGATGCTGGTCATTTACTTCAGGGAATGAGAGAAGAATGATGCATTTGTTCCTCAAAACGGAATATATAGACAAGTATCAGACGTTTATTTGGCACCAGGATGGATTTTGTCGCCTACTAAGAAGAGCTGTAATGAGAGAAATAGTGAAAATGTTAAGGGAATTATTGTTCACATCTTTTGGTTTCATCACATCAAAGGCAGAAAGATACTCCGAAAACTGCTTATAACTCATTCGCTGTTATTTACTTTCTCCTAATTGAAATGTTTAAATAAATCCATAAACATTTTGTATTTCATATTATTCATATTCCAGGTGTGGAGTAACAGCAAAAATGTAAGTACCTAATCATAAGCAACAACAAGAGAAAAGGACATTGCTGATAGTTCTGTTTATAACTATTATGCTTCCTGAATTTTCATACATGAATGAGGAGAACATTGGTGAATGTTTGATGACTGTCTAGTAGCTTTCTCCCTGATTGCAACCAGTAATTTGAAGAAAAAATACACATTAATACTGAAAAAATGTGCATTTTCAAACTAGTGAGGGAGTGATAGTGTAATTACAGTCACATAATTACAAAAGTACCATGGACTAATTATAGTCTGAAACGCTGGACCGTCCATTGAATGCCTATCAGTATGTTGGGGTCGGATTGGTCAGTTATCTAGTTAAAGATTTATGCTTTGAATGATGAACTCTTCAGCTAGTCTATAGTTGCATATAACACTTCCCCTTCAGGAAGACTGATGATACATAACGTGTTCGCTTCGAGTCAACTTAAAATTGTGGAGGCTTCTATCAACATCTTTCATGAAACAGTGTTCGCTTACTTCGAGTCATCAAATTGTACAATACTGTTTTCTTTCAGTCCTTCAAACTGTGTTAAGTCGAAAAGTACCCAACAGTATATTGAAAAGCTGATTCAGCTTTGAGTCAGTGGTTGCGTTCACAGAGTAACCGATTGTAATAATGAGTCTATATTATCACTGCCAAAGTTCACACGATAAATGGACTGAACTCGTCATAGCAAGACGTAGACTTCATCCCAGGCTTTGAATCCTGTTCCATAATCACGAATACAAACAATCATACCAATCTTGCGTTGTCATTTACTACTAATCGGGGAATGGCAACGCTTCGGTCCTTAGTCTACGTCAATAAGGAATTTCAGCTGAATATTCTTCCAAAGTAACAATATTAGTTATCTGCTAATCGAACTATATTCCGTAGTGATAGAAAACGAATTGATCTTTCGCCTGAGTGGAGAAATCACTACAAAACTGTGCGTTGAAAAGAATACGATTGACACTGGTTTTCTGCACAGTATTAAAGATTGAATCTTCAGGCACTACTGACATCAGTTTATTATAATGTAACAACTCTACGTTATATTAAGTCAACCCGTGCACACCTTGGTCACTAGTCTGAGTCATGTGTGGAAGTAGGAGTCAGTTGGTTTTGATCATAGAGATTTCAGTACCTGATGTACTGAAATCTTCAGTGACGGGTTTCGATGTTGTCATGTCAATAATGCAGTAATTGTTACCCGGTACTTTAAAACCTTTATCACCAGTGATAACAGTTTTTCCAATTAATTTGATTCGTTTCCAACGTACGTACGTCGTTAAAATCGTTTCCCTACTATCGGTCTGTGAACTAGGTGAGCTTCAGTGGTGCATTAGCCAGAGATCGAATTCAGTTCATTGTGTATTGTTGCTGCACATCCCACTAGTGAATCAATGACGCCCGTTACCAGTTTTAATTTGTTTTAGAAAACAGAAAGATTGAGCGAAGAAATATTTACTTTTCAATTAGATCATCATCTCACTCTGGCTCTACTCTAATATACTCGTATAGCAGTTTAATTACAATACAACAGTTTTCCAATCAAGTGGCGATAAGTTTAAATCAAATGAACTGTAGTCAAGATTTGACAGAATAGTTCTAAAAAATTTGGGCGCCGAGTGAGAAGTAGACATTTGTAAAAAATTATATTTGTAAAATCTCAGCGATATTGAAATGAGTAATTCCAACGTTTCGTTCGGCAATCTGGTCCGAACTTCTTCAGGGAAATTAATCGAAATTAACATAACAGAGGTTTATATATAAAAGGAACATCTCTTATTTTTAAAAACACTTTGTCCAATCATGAGTCATAATCGAATTAAATTAACAAAGAAACTATGTAATTGGCACAATCATCGTGTTTCCACTCTCCATTGTCTGCAACAGAATGCGTACCCTAAATCCGTAGCTATCCAGTCAACTGACAACTCCAGTAGGTCGAATGAATCAGCTCAATTTTCAGAAAGAAGACAAAGTCATGAGTTTGACAGGGTGCTTCAACTAAACTCTAATCCTAAACACCATAATTTTGAAAATACGTCTAATCATAAGATTCTAGATACCAACAGTTTGAACAGACATGAAGGTGTGATGTTAGCTGACGCATAGGAAATCCTGATTAATAAATAAGAATGGATGTGTATCACTAACTAGTAATACTTGATCAAAGTTCCTGACTGTCTATATCTACTTATGGAGACGTTAAGACATTGTTTTACAACTGTTTATCCGCACACATGCACACTGTGTTTAAAGAGTTTAACAAAGGTAGATCAATATTTGTAAGTCTGAGGTCAAATTTTGATCACAACTCATACAATTTTGTTTATTGTACATGTTGATGCCTGTTTTATGACTCATGATTGGACAAAGTGTTTTTAAAAATAAGAGATGTTCCTTTTATATATAAACCTCTGTTATGTTAATTTCGATTAATTTCCCTGAAGAAGTTCGGACCAGATTACAGAACGAAACGTTGGAATTACTCATTTCAATATCGCTGAGATTTTACAAATATAATTTTTTACAAATGGCGATAAGTTTGTTAACAATAATTAAACAGTGTCAAAGGGTTAATAGTTAACGAAGAAAATCAATACATTGGGCGTACAATTAGGCAACTTCATCGTCGTATTTCTGAACATCATCCAATGTGGTTAAGTAAGGGAGAAAAAAGATCTATTCGTAGCTCTATTTTTTTTAGCCCACCTCGTTGATACTGACCATAAGATTGATGTTAATACAGCATTTAAAATTATTTATCGCATTCCAACTTATCTTAATTTCGCTTTGCGAGTTCGTCTTCTACAGATTGCTGAGGCGATTGGCATTCATCTGAAGAAGCCAAGCCTATGTGTACAGAAAAAATTTGTACAGCCACTTTCCCTACCGTGGCCATCGTCACAAGAATGGATAAACAGGACTGCGTCACCCCCCTCCCCCTAAACTTATAAAATTATATTTGTCTAAATTATTTCTTTTATTTTATTCTGAACACTTTATCTTTAATTTACGTGTTATTCTTGTAAAATTAATTTATTCTATCCATTTCCACCTTTTAAATCTGTATTGATTTTCTTCGTTAACTATTAACCCATTGACACTGTTTAATTATTGTTAACAAACTTATCGCCACTTGATTGGAAAACTGTTGTATTGTAATTAAAATGCTATACGTGTATATTAGAGTAGAGCCAGAGTGAGATGATGATCTAATTGAAAAGTAAATATTTCTTCGCTCAATCTTTCTGTTTTCTAAATGTCTAAATGGGGATTTTTTCTTAATTTGTTTTAACTGGTAAATCTTATAACTCATCGTTTAATTATTCACCTTAGGTTTTACTTGTTTGATGAAAAGTAAGTTGGCCTTGTTTTGGAATGTGATAATAAACACTCTTTGTCAAGACTTGACTCTTTGTTACATTTCGACTTTATCCCTAAATTCGTTTAAAAACTGATACAAGTAACTAGAGGTGAAGCAAAATTCAAAAATAAACTGGCTATAAACTTCAATCAGAATAATTTGCTCGCTTACGAATGTAGTTCTCGAAAATTTCACATTCATGCATAGAGAAAAGAGGAGAGAATAGAGGATGTCCTGTAGCAGAATAATGAACGGTTCGGGACTTTACCAGCCAGTTGAGAGAGCGCATTTACTCTGAAGACACATCCAAATGAGCCTTGAATCGCAGTGCTAATTTTCCTTATAAAAAATAACACTCACAATATTTGCTCACTTTGACCAGCATAAAATCGTTTCAACACCAAATATAATAAACTACTTTTGAATTGTATTTCTATATAAACTGACACTTAGGTGATCAGTTTTCAGTGAATGGCTTTTAAAATTACGATGGAACATCTCTAAACACAGTCAATGTCTGTCAATCAATCAATCAATACTTGTTTGTTAACTAATTAACGCAGTTCATTCACACTCTCATTCAGGATGGCGTCAAACATCGTTGAATCTCTCAAAGGAAAGGGTAACATTTGGGCAGTGAATTCTCATACTCTAACTAACTTTCACTGCCTTCTAGATGTCTCTTGTCATATGTGTGTGGGGGCGCATTGGTAGTTCAGTGGTAGAATGCGCTCTACCTACTCACGAAGTGCGAGTCCTGAAAGTCGCCTGGTCATATAAACGCAAGACTTTCAAAGTAATGGAGCCCAGAGCTGTCAAGTTTCTTCGCGTGAACGATCCCGATGACACTCAGATATTAAACTGGCATTCTGTTACCCAAGAACTTCCTTTTGCCAGTATACGAATAGCATCACAGAGAAGTACACTCACAATAACAAACAAAAATTCTTCAGTTAATTTTAGGCGGAAATATTCTTGATACTTAGATATGTGTCCTTGGCTTCGTGATAATTTCCTCGACGGCGCCTTCATAGTACACACACAAAATAATTTCACCTAACACCTCTCGAAGCTCTTAAGTCGAAATTGTTGAAGTTAATTGGTTTGTTGGTCTTATTTCACAAACTGTTTATTGATACTTTACATTTCCCGAAATCCGCAGTGCAAACAATCATCAAGACGTGTAAGTGAAATGAAAGATTTTTATAATTTAATAATTAATAGCTTTATTTTGTACAGCCTTTATAAATTGTACAAAAATTTCAGCATAGTTTATTGCATGGTATTTTCTCTTCATCCAGGATCTTCAAATAAAACATTACGTGACAGTAGACCATGTGAAGCAACACCTCTGCCAGACATGAAGCGAATTCATTAGAAAGAGACTCTTCGCTGAGCTACTGATCTTCTGTCTGTTACATAGAAAAGTCTCAGGAATGCATACTTTCAATCTACGAACCAACCCAACAACAGCCATATCTTGCATTGCAGTACACCCCAACCGACGATGATGTTTTTTCTCATGATACACTAAAAACTTGCGAATCAGCAATTTATAAGCACATTGGATACTTGCCAGAGTATAAAACGTAATTAAAGATCATATTTAATCAGACATAATAAAAGTGAACGGGAGAAAATATCTATGATATATGAATAGGATTTCGCAGTAGCCCAAATCTAAGCATGCCGCCAATATATAATTGGAAATTCAGCAAAATATAAACCTAGTTCCCACTCTCAGTAGGATGGAGACACATCCAGCTAATGACTCCTAGACTGGATAGAATGCTTGCCTCAGATTCCAATGTTAACCTCTATTAAACAGAAAACGAGCACTTTATGACTTGATGAATAATTTTATCCAGTCAAGGTTCCATTCGAGAGAGTACTTCGGTTCCAATATGTAGCATATAGTTTTGACCCAATAGGGGTCAGCACAATCTGTAAGATTCCAGTTTCCTGGCGACAGTGATGTCATCATAGGTGAAATTGTAATTTGAGTGTTTTGAGCTATCCGTTAACAGGATAATTTTTATAAAACTCCTCTGAACAATCAAATATTACCGGTAAATGTACTAATCTGTAGTACAAACCTTTATCCGAATACTGACCTGTTAGAAGACAGTCAGTCACCTCAGTGTCGTGTATACATTACCACTGGTCAGTAGATCTTTCCTGTAAAACTAGGAAAAGTTATATTTTCTGCTTCGTTCAAATCCTAAGTCACATTCTTCACAACAAGGCTATTCATTTTGCAGGTGGCCGTAAAAAGAGAGTCAGCAAATACACGTCCAAAAGCCCCTTTATTCTAATCATTCAGTGAGCACGACAAGCCTTAAATATTTTGATTTTCATGGCTGATTTTACTTTGTCTGTCTAACAAATGGATATATATCGCGAAATGGATATAAATCTGTTTTCCTAATATACCTTAAGAATACACTAATCCCATTACGATTTAAGTTGACGCCGTCTATTTATTGTAAGTACTATGAAGTGACTGGATAATACAAACTTACTGTTTCTCATTTTGTTTGTAAAGTACGAAACAACTGCCACTCCTGTAAGTCTAATCAGAGAAAACTTTTACTTTTATTATCATTCCTTCCTTATGTCAAGAGTGAAAGATGTGGGGTCATCAAGACTTCTCCACCGCACTTGGCTTCCTTATATCATATTCAGGTGGCATCACGACTATCCAGAAGTTTTCACTTAATTCTTATAAGACCTCCTCCATGTCAAATTTGGATTCCCAACTCGCTAGCCGCCTTCCATTCGGATTTCACTTGATGGACTGGCGTGTGACGTCGCTTATCTAGTTAAGTAGCAGGATGAAAAGACGTCTGCATCTGGATATAGCAACCTAGTGACAGTGACTAAAAAGTGCAGGAGAACATGGCTAAATCATGACACAGCAAACATGTGACCTTGGTAGGAAAAAAAGAAGGCATAAAGGATGGAAACCGTAAATTTCTTTGTAGAAATCTGGAACGATAATTTCTAGTGGAACTTTCGAATAATAAAACCACACGTCTGAGTTATGCGCAAAATCCAAAACACAAGATTTGTTCAATACGGACATCATAAATAAATATAGTGAACGAAATATACAAACGTGAAATGATGAGGTATCTAGGCTGTACGCCGTCAAACGAACTGTCCCTGTGCGTCAGTGAGACTGAAAATTAAGGCTGTGTTGTAGGTGATCCACTGTTAAGAAGGAACAAGCGGTGGATTGATGGATTCAATGAACTATGCTTGTGAAACCAAATAGGGAATATGAAAGGAAAACAATGAAAAACAATACCGAATACATTTGCAATGTGTGATTGATTCTAACGTGTGGGAGGCATATTTTGACCACGTTTGTATATCAAGTTGCCAACAAATAATTATATTACCGAATACTCTTGTCTTATGCTGTTACACTATGAAGTGTTTGTCTTTTAGTTTGATGGTTTTATTCATCTTCACGCTATTTTCCATTGCCTTTTAATAGTTCCAATGATCATCCTGATGAGTAAGTGATACGAATTAACTAGAGGTTATTAAGAGATGCACTTGAAATCCTCCAAGTATCAAGACATGTCGAGTTAATAAAAACGATTCACAAATTGAATAGTACATTTCACAGGAATTTTTAAAATACAGAATGCCCAATAAAGAATATACCTTCTGTGCTGCTTCTAATGAATATGAAACTGTAGGACTTGAAGCATGTGTGCATTTGTCATACTCCACAGAATGAAAGTGTCTGTGAAAGATTTTCAAGGAATTGAATTTTCGATGAAGTCATTCCACACCCTATACTTAAAAGTGGAAGAACATATGATATGAAACTAATAGACGAAAACGTGAGGCAAAAGGAATATTGAGGATTCAATAAATTCTGGAAGGTCACAAAGAGTGAAGGCGTCTAAAGCAATGAGAATTATTTTGAATCATACTCCGAAAAGTCTTCATCCATTAGTTCTCAAAGTCTGGGTTAATCATGTCAGGAAGTCCATACCATACATGGATCAAACCACGAGCAAATGACTTCATGGTCTGATGTTATGTTTTGATCCAACTACCGGCGACCATTTTCTAGTCTAAGCTTACCTCAGGTATCACTGCCCATCGAGAGAGAGGAAGGTCTAGCGAGGGTAATACGTGTCCTAAACATCACAGTCACTTCAAACTTATAACCTGACTACGCCTAACCTTATTATTACTGATCATTTTATACCTCCTAGCATGAGAAACGGAAGGTGGATACCTCTGTTCAAAAATGGCTACCTTAGTTGTGTCTTTCAATTTTGACGGCTGTTATTCATATGCCTGAAAACGTTTGGAGCAAGCTGACATATACCAAACAAGATTACCGATGAGTAACTGAAAAACACACTGACATGTGCTAATATTTTGTCAGCAACCGATCGATTTTCGGTTAGTGCATTTTCCCAAATAAGTGAAGGGTTCAACGCTTTCAGCCATTTTAGATATTATCCCTAGATCAGAAGAGGTTTTACTCCAGAGCTGAAAGCAAGTCTTCCATTTGACTGGGGTGAATAGCTTACAAAACTGTTCAGATTTTCATCTAAGGAGTATATGAGTCTTTTATTGTTGACATCTCCATTCAGAAGGACTGCATCATGTGTCTAATAGAGTTCACTATAACTATACCTTGGGAAAGCATATCAAACCCTGAAACATCGGAGTCAATTAAAGTCACGTACCTAAGTGTATCTATAATGATAATAAATGTAAAATGGTAGCATTGAGCAATCTGTATGCTAGACGAGCGAATATGTGAACTTGCACATGTTCCTTGGGTAAACATGTACCTGAAAAACAAACGATCTATACCGTTTTGAATGTCTCCACCCACAATGACATTTCAACATCTCAAAACGGCTATAAAAAATTAAATTTCGAAAAGCTGATTGGACATCATGGAATCCCCGCTTATAACAACCGAATTCCCTCCTAACATTGGTGAATCAATCGTTCGGCAGATTATTTTGCTCATAACATACTACTGACTACGATACCTTTACTGATATCAAAAGGTATGCTAACAAATCCAAATTTAATAGTTGAAATGAGCTATCACTAAAACTTACCGAACAGTTGACTGTGCTCCAAGAAATAGGTCAGGAAGTTCTACTTTATTTCTCACTGGTAAAATTATGCAATTATTCTAATACACACTGGCATGATTATCAAGGCAAGCTGACGTGCTTTCAGTTGACGAAAGCGTTTCGGTGTGTTTGTCCCTCTCTATATTTCTTTCACCAAAGTGAGGCGTGCATAAGGTGGAATGCTGAATTCGATGATGTAATGATTAAATATACAAATGAAATTTCAATCTTTTGAATTTATTTCAGAGTGGAGTAAGTTTGCAGACTATAGACGTTTCATTATGTAGAGCGCTTTATGTTATTTGCGTTTCTATTTCATTCGGTCACCTTTTGTCTCTCTCTGGCGCCGGTATGTTCCATTCAGAATAAGGAGTTTCACTCAGTCAGTGCATTACCTCTTTGTTAAAAACAAAAAGGCCTCAAATTTTCAAACTAAGTGAGTAGATATTTTATCCTGAATTCCCAAACAATTAGCCTTTTAATCGATTCTTCTAGGCACTCAGCATTGAAATATATCTATATGGATGTTGTTGATGATACCCAAAAGGACATTAAATTACAGTTGAGATATAACAAGAAGACCTGTGTAAGAATTAATCGTTCGTATGGAATAAACTCGATACAATGAATATACTCATGGAAAATTCCCATTGTAACATGTAGAAAATCAAAACAAGTGATTCAGCGAAGAGACTCTTTTCAACGAATTTATCATCAAGCTGTACAGTCGTATATATATGGGTTTTAAGAAGTTATATCCGGTGAGGGAATTGAATCTTAGGTGTGAATGCATAAAATAATAATAATCATATGAAGTTCAATTAAAACTAAAATCCTTGTGATTATAATCGTAGTTAAATGTCAAGTGGCAAAGCAAATTAATGTCATATATAGAATAATTCATAGGAGGGATAGAACTTGAAAAAGGATGTGCAATTATAGGATTAGTAGACAAATCGAATAAGATAAAAACGTTACGTAATATTGTGTGAAATTTAATAGCATAGAATTTATCGTTGTTAAAAAAAGAATTGATTTAGAATGACAAGTGGAACAAGTGAAATAATACCGGGGACAGTTCAAAGTGAGAATAGTAATAATAACAATTGACTTAATAAGGAAGAGTATACAAATTGAATAGACAAAATGAAAAATGAAAAATTGGTAGAGCTAAAATATGATTGGGGATTATCATATTTTAGCATAGAGGGATTAAGACCATGAAAGTTGGAGGGGTTGAACGAACTTTTTCTGTACACAGAGATCTGGCTTTTCTGTTTCGATAGCCAAAGCTTCAGCAATACAGATGAGTCGGGTACGTAGGGATTTGGGTAGATTGCTCTTTGCCTTGTAGATGACTTTAAAGGCGGAGGCTATAGAGATAGGGTGATCATTATCGACCAGATGTTCTATGATCGCGCTTCTTATTGCTCCACTTCCACCTTTTCGTAGCCATGCAGGATAATGTTCTTGCACCCTCTTGGACAAAACTCGAGTCGAACGACCGATATACCTAGCTCCACAAGAGCAGGTGAATTGATAAACGCACATAGAGTTGGTCAACATTGGGATCTTGTCCTTCAGGTTATTGAACAATAATGGTCGGCTAGTAAAAGCTATTCTCAGAGATGCAGCAGGGAATGTTCTTTTCAGGGACTGTGATATCCTTCGTTTCATGATATCGGAAGCTAAGTCCCCTTTGAATTCTAAGCTCATGTAAAGTATTTTCTTGGGAGCGGTTGATAAGTCACGTTTTGTAGGCTTTGAATGTATATTCTTATCTATAAAACGTGGTGGAAATCCATTATTTTCCTCAAAGTGTATAACTCATCTTCCACAGTATCAGTGCTACATATGCGCCGAATACGAGTGGCAAGCGACCGGACCAGGTTTCGTTTTCGACCAATAGGTACCCAGCTATAGAAATTTGTCAGTTGACCATTCCATAACAGCTACGATAAATCGATCTCTTCAGAGTTCCATCGGTCCTTCTTGATAAGTTCACATCGAGGAAATGAATGCTAGACTCGTTCTCCATTTCGAGTGTGAATTTTATCGCAGGATGGCACTCATTAAATACATTTAATATATTATTCAGGTTACAATCAATATTACAAATAATAAAGGTGTCATCTACATACCTTTTATATATTTGAAAGCTTTGGATTATAGGCTTCAGGGAACCATTTTCTAGACTGGACATACAACGATAAACTCTACGCTAATTAATTTCACACAATATTACGTAACGTTTTTACCTTATTCGATTTGTCTACTAATCCTATAATTGCACATTCTTTTTCAAGTTCTATCCCTCCCATGAATTATTCTATATATGACATTAATTTGCTTTGCCACTTGACATTTAACTATGATTATAATCACAAGGATTTTAGTTTTAATTGAACTTCATATGATTATTATTATTTTATGCATTCACAACTAAGATTCAATTCCCTCACAGGATATAACTTCTTAAAACCCATATATATATACGACTGTACAGCTTGATGATAAATTCGTTGAAAAGAGTCTCTTCGCTGAATCACTTGTTTTGATTTTCTACAGTGAATATAGTTTAATGTTTATGTGGTCTTTTCTTCATACGATTGTCAACATATATAGCAACCAATGTACATTTAAGATGAACTTTTAAGAATGAACTACTGGCAATCTGTGTTTTGTATATATGGAATTTGAATGATTAGTAAACTTTAGCTCAACATCCATTTCTGTTTGGTATTGATGAATGGTGTCATCACTGAAAGAATCAATGTAACGGACTACTTTATCCCAGTGATTCAAGCATTTTATTAAGTGACATTCGCACTACAAGTGAATCAAATTCAGTTTGCATTTGCGAGTGTGAGCTCGTGGCGACAGTTTACAAGATGAAAGATGTCGACAAGAACACAAGATAAGTCTATATGCTAATGCAAATACATATCCTCGCATCCTCTATGAAATTCTGTGTTCCACTCGGGATTTTAATGAACGTGAATAGAACACCAATAGAAACTGACTGTTTCGGTGTAATAAGAAAGCACTTTAAAGTCAAGGTTTTGCTGTTAACATGAAGCCAATAAGTCAAGTCAGTTTTCATTAACAAATGACTATCATTCAGTGTTGAAGTTTGTTAAACTAAGGACCCTTAAGACGAGTTCCAGATAAGGAGTTATTCGCCTACATTTACATCATCATGCCGATCATCGTGTAAGGGATCTTTAAATAAGAGTTTTCATTTGACTAATATTGACATCGTGAATCATTCAACATGTTGTTTTTCTCATTTGACTAGGCGTCTTCGTAAACCACGTTTCCTTGTTATGTGATTTGGAATACGAGTTTTACAGTGATTTTATGATGGCGAATAACTCTTCAAAATTACTAGTCTACTGGCTTCATCATCGATTCTATAGGGATGTAGTTATTATTTTTTCCTAATTTACAAAGAATGTTGCATTTATTGTTGCATTTAAAGAATATTTATATGCAGGCTTTGAATGGTTACTTACTAATTAATTTTGTGTTTACTCAAATGTGTCCACTTTCAGTGTTGACAAAGCAACGTAAGTTTCATAATATAAAATGATCTGCTAAGATTTTAAATATTTGAGAACTAAACTTTTATAAATAATGTTCTTCAAAACAAAAATGAAGATGTTCTAGTCGTTAGAATTGCATGATAAAGCGACTTTGAATGTGGTATTAATTGAAAGTCGCCTCAGTGCATATTCAAATCATCTCCGATTTGTTCCGCATATTTTTTAAGTAATAGGTGTTCTGCCAGTTTCTTTACACAGTACCTTATTACTTCTTCTCCTCTCTGGCCCATTCCACTGGTAAACAATGCGAAATTTATAATCTGATATTATTTCACTACTGACTAAAAGAGGACTTTCTTCAATTAGTCTACCTCAAACAGTTGATTCAGTTTAATTATTTGTCACACAAATCGATTAGAATAAGTTGAGCGAAGATCAGACGCCTGTTGAACAAGATGTAGCAATTATGACTGAATAGTCAAGTTCGAAGCAGCTTGACGTTAAAAACAACTGGTTCTAGACTACCTCAGTTTTCGTAAGGAGGTCTATTATTCACTTTTATGCTAGTTCGTCTCATTAGAGTTCTCCAAAATGAAACGAAACCCAAAGTCTGAATGCTGACGAATGTGTAAACCAAACGTACAATGCATTCAATTTTATAAAATAAATATGTATATATAATTTGTCTTCTGTTGATAAGACTGGCTGAGACGGCCTTTGATTAGCAGATTACTACTGATGTAATGGAGGATAATTTAAGGTGAAACAGAGATATGGATTGTAGCGAGAATTGTAAACTACTGCCTAATGAAGTGTCACACATTAGTGAATGGTATTTATCTTAAAATAAATTGTCTAATAACTCACGAATTTACTGCACTTTAGTGAGAGACCTAAGATTTATGTTGAAAGCTTAATCGTACCACAGCTAGTGTTGTACTTCGTCACGCACCTTCAGGTTGATAAAATCAAGTGTGATTCAGTATGAAACCTTAAGTATTATATCACTAAAGTTTCACCGAGTAATGCGTATCCAATCAGCAAACGTTTCTATATCTTACAAAGCAAAAATAAGGGCAGTTTCGAAAATTGTTACAATAAACTATTATTATTATCTTTGTGCTAGACTGCACTGGAATCTATAGTCCGTGTTTCGTCTTAAGGGATACTCGTCAACAGCGTGTTTGTATCTAGGTCTGTTGGTACTCCCACTGAGGATCGAACTCGAAACCAGTGTACTCGGCTTGATTTCCTAATTATTACAACCAGCACTCATTCAAAGGGATACCTAATAGACATAAACCCTTACTAGGTTAAAATCGTCGAGTATTTTCTCCCATACGAGGGTGCATAACAGGTGTCTCACAACGTCAATCTCATTTTTCACTCTAAAATGCCAATGACCATAGTAACGTTGAGGCAGTTTAACAGCCTTGGAAAGTAAAGATTGTGATTCTTATAATTTTGATAATTTTAGAATTGACACAAGGCAGTAAGTTTTGTTCCGTTCAACAATTTTCGCATACGATGATGAGTGTTTTCCTTTGATTTTACAATTATATATTGAAAGAAGTACTAAATTCCAATGTATTGATTGTAAAATGAGGAGACGAAATGCGGAAAAGAAAATTTACCTTGTTGATGAGTCATTTTCATTAATTGTATTTTACGTTTTTATTTACAATCAACAAATAAGTCTATAAATGGCTAGTATGTCATGCTGAAAACTGCTGAACATGTTCTAGGATCTAATGGTAAATTGTGTGCACAGTTGGAACGTGATTATGTAACAGTGAATGTTATGAGATTGAATAATTAAGGAGCGTGTCAATCTCTAGAACTAAGGCGGCAAGTAGTGTCTACTATAGTTCATAATATGATGTGTACAGTTTCTGATATGACCAGCAATACAAACTGGTAAACTGTGAGTGATATAAACGCAGTCCACTATTAAAAACCACTTGTCACTATATATATATATATATATATCTTGAAGTTTCAGTAGTGGTGGTTTTACTTATGATCAGTGAAGGTGCTATCCTCACACCTAAGATCTCCTCTGCCCCAGGCTAACTATCGACTGAGATACATGAGAGCCTAAACCAGGAATCGAACCCTGACTACGTGGGTGGTTGATGAGCATTCTATCAGTGAACCACTGACAATGAATAAAAGAACCGCATGATGTAAAGAATAATGTGGAGTCCTTACCGATAGTTAAGGGTGATTTACTGACACTTCATAACCTTTCGACTATATACACGTATATCAGTTATATTAATTTATTTCTGTCCGTCCTCCATTCATCAGAATTTCAAATTATGTGGATTTTAATGAAGTCGTACAAACCTACAGATTTCACATAATGAGTGATAATAAACACGTGATCTACTCCTAAGAAATAGCCCAGATCGATATATGTTTAATAGGTAACTGGTTAGAGGCAGTTGGCAGAAAGCCTCAGAACTGAACTGCGTGCTACCTGGTACTCATTAGTAAGGCATATCTAAACTGACTCACCACCCATTCAGAGATATGAACTCACATACGAACTCAATACTACAGTTACAGACCCTTACAGTGAAGAATTCATACCATTAAGAATTAAACACGTTTTGATTTTTAAATTGTCGTTTCTATTTTCTTCAATAAAAAAACAGATGCAGGTAAGATTGTGTTAAAACTTGATTAGCCACAGGTTTGTTACTATAACGACTAATTTGTGTTGTCATTTAGCATTGGTTAAATTGTTTTTATTATGCACTTAGATGAAATTTCAAACACAGATAGATGTAACATAGAGTAACGGAGCTCTCCTGAATGGGAAATACTGATCAATCCACGTCCATGTCATCTGAAAGGGACTGAGGATATGACGGTTGAATCACAAAACCTACAGATATTATTTTCCTATTCAATTGGTATGCAAGAGTAAACTGAGTGATTGCGTGGTATCTTCAGAAACCTCAGAAACTGAAATTCAATGTACATACACATATTTCTTTTCACCGAAACAACAGTTCAGTATATCGATATTGTTGATACTATGGGTTAAGCGTTCAATTACGAAGACGACTTCGATTCACTTCTCTCTTCACCCACACCATCCTCTTTTTATTTACTCAAATCCATTTTACGAATCTACCGAAAATTCTGTATGACATATTCTGAGTACCAGATGGGAACAGTATTCGGTCAAGTAAATTAACTTCATTCATTTGATCAAAAACGACTCATGGTAGGGTATTTTGCATAGATTTAATCAAGAGTGAATAGTCGGTCAACGTGGATATATCTTACACTAAATGGCTGATGCTACCAGAATATGACCTATTTTACTGAAATCGATACTAGACTCAATGCATAGAAAGTTTTCGATAGTGAGACTATTTAAAATGACTTTTATCTGTTAGAAAGTTCTCTCCGCGGTTAGAATTCTCAACCATCTCATCGTCTCACCACTCACTTACTGTTGGGCAATACGTCTTTCAACAAATATAGCTAACTGCACAGAGATCCAAACATACTGCATAGTCTTTTCAATAAGTCTCGACTAATCATTACTAATTACACAGACATTTCATTTAAAAATATGCATCGATAGAGTTGCAAATGTTCTACCAGTTGTCGTACTGTCTCCCTCATTTGCACTATTCATTTTACAATCACTGCTGACTAAGAAAACTGAAAGCACAGAAGGGAACCAACAATGAGGCAATGAAAATACGAAATGACAATTATTTCACCTGATTACACTTATTCCAGGAGAAAGTAATTTCATCTCCTCTGTCTTTTAATGTGTTTATTTTGATTACTCATTGAGGTGTCTATAAAATGTACACAGTAGCTAAACTTTGTTATTTTATTCAGCATACAGGAAGACAAACAAAGAACAGTGTAAGTGAAAGTATCATTATGATGATTGCTAGTACATTTCGCTTTCCGAGCAAGATATTGACCGTCATTAGCATAGTCCTTTAGCAAACTCCCCTTTGTTATCACTTTTGGCTGACTCCACAATCGTCTTCTGGAGTTTTCAAAACCTCGTCACTTCACCTTCTCTATGTCACCCTCTCACTCACACCTCAGTCATTAATAAACCTTGCGATGCTACTCGAGGATAAGATATCACATGACTGTTGTCTCATTGTATGACCAGTCCACATTTATCTCCATCTCCAGCTTTGTTAGGAGTTATTACTCTGGAAACTTATTCATATCAGTGTAACTATGTTCTCTGAGCTGCAACGTTTAACTGAGAAATGATTTGATTGTCTTTCTGGACAACATCTTCGTCGCCAACTTCGTTGTCAGTCGACCTTAGCTATATGTAACTAGTTCTTATCAAGAGACAATCAGAATTCAGTTGGTTGGCGCTTATCCAAGGTTTTTGAGGTGAATACGTCAGACGATACAGCTGATGGGCTTGGCTGAAAACGACCAATTTAGCATCAAGTGTTGTCATCACTTCAATCTCTCTAATGAGAGTTACCATTTGATACTAGTGACTTTCAACTGTAATTCTAGTATTTGAGTTCATTGACTTGGCGTCTATGTATTCCACCATTTCTAAATTTCTCACAGAGATCATGATTAAATTTTACACCGAAATTTGTACATTCCACTGTGGCATAATTTTTGTTGGAATCTCCTCTCAATACAGTCGTCTTGCCGAAGGTAGTTCACATACACAAAACTGAAACATAAATGAAGAAGGAGAATACAAATAAAAAATTCTGCAACATATTTTGTCGACGAAGTACTTTTATTTCTTCTGTTTTCATTCTAATACAGATTTGGGATGGTAAAAGTTCTGTAAGTTAAAGTTTTTTGTATACAAATGACCACTATCCATATATTAGACGTTAGACTTCCACAGTCGACCAACAAAATGTATTACCTCTCTTAGGGCGAGTCATGTTTTCTAGAAGACTTTAATCTACTTGAGTTATTCACGCAACTGGATGGATATCATTTGTCTTACTAGTGGAACATAAGGCTTCAATCATGAGCTCTGAAGCTTCAATAGAGATCCCGTTTTCTTTAACGGCGTACGATCGCTGATCTCGCATCCTACCTCCTGTCTTTACGGGTTCTACTACCTGTTAGGTGGGGTTTAGAGGTGTGTCAGCCAGGAGTCAGATCACTGACAACGTGTGTGTTTGTTGAATATTCTACCAGGGAACCACAGAGGTATAACTTTCAAATAATTCTGATCACAATGGACCTTCTTATTATTGTGATTACAATTTTTCCCCTGAGTTCCGAGGTGAACAAGAGGCTACATCTACAAGTGGGCATATCTACACTTTCTTCAATTTTCTTCTTTCTTCTTCAGCTAGCCCCATAACTGCCCATAGTCTCTCATCTCTTTTTCGTATGATCTCCTACATATGACCCTCGCACCAATCCGCAGCTTATCTTTCACTTTCTACTTGGGTTCCATTCGAGCAACGGCTTGGTATGCAATGTCATTTGATGGTCTCGTCATCGTGTACAATACACATCTCTGTTTTCTCGTACATCCTCACTGAGCAATGCTCTCTTGAATAATTTGTTCCTAGAGTTTCTAGTTGCTAATTATCTCTGTTTGGCTATTTGATCTTTGAATTGAAACCAGCGAAGTAGGCGGCTCTTGATAAAATCATGCAGTAGCCTGTTAGAAATGCTATCCGTGACGCACTAGTCAAGTTAGTGGCCTATGTAGAGGCGTTAAGTGACTTAAGATTAGTGTTGAAAATCAAAATTTCCCCCTTTCTACTGTTGACGATTTTCAGACTGATTTCAGATTAATCACATCTTCATCTGTTCTGTCTGTGGTTGAATCGGTGCTTCCTGGATAATTGACCTTCTTGATAGCAGCAATAACTTTACAAGTTTGTGGATATATCTTGTTAATTTCTGTCAATGAATACAGTATCTAGATAAAATCAACTTCCCCGTTTAACACTTTGATGCATAATTACGTTGCATATCACTTTTATGCCACTAAGTTAAGTGGACACATTAGGAATATGATCTTACAGAATTTTGTGAAAGGTGAAGACTCGCGAGTTAAGTTCTTATTAAGCTACCTTTCCTATAAAAACTGTAAAATAATGTCATACATTCATTACATTCTCAAGCACTTTGAACAGTTGACTCTGAATGCAATCAAAGAGAAACTTAATTTGACTAACTGGTCAACATATATAGTGAGTGACTTTCACTTTAATAAAGACAGTAGTCGTTAAAGAAACGCGCAAAAACTGAAAATAGCGGATCGTTAATAGACAACGTAAAAAGCCACTAGTTGCACATCTGAACTCCTGATCATTAATATCAATCTTCTTACTTAAATGAAGACATCATATTAGTGTTGAATACCATTAACAACTCAATAGTTAGTTCACTTTGTACATTTTACATGTAGTTGTCGTAAGTTAGAAGTCACCACTCAATATTTTAAGTGGTTGAAGGTAATCGGTAAACACTCCTGAACCCTTGGTCTCGTCCACGTCACAAAACGGTATCTGTGACCTTAAAAGAACTGAAATCTCCCCAGTGATTAGAACCGACATCTATTTTCTTATTCTTACGGAAATTAGACGAAAATTAAAACTTCCCTCGAACATCTACTTTGCCCACTTTCCACTAGTAGTTGGTAGTTTATTCAAGTCTTGAATAAGAGAACAATAGAAAGTTTAATCAATATTTTGTGGAGGTACCAAATCACGATGTGGGCTTTTGACATGAATATTCAAGTAGCATATTTTGTGTAGAAGGATCTTCAAAGCGGCGTAATGGAAATAACTTGAGAAGAGGAGAAATAAAACATCCTTGTTCAACAATGAGTAGAGGAAGAAGAGGAGATAAAAGAAGGAGAATACGCAGTACTGGTGCAAGCGGAAGTTTCAATGTATCGTATGTGTATTTTGTCACAACTGCACATCCATTTGACAAATGCTGAAATCTGCTGCCCAATACCTCCGTGACTTGCTGATACACCTTCACGTCCACTTCAATCTGTATTTACTAAGCCGTTTACTATTTCATTTCAGTGACATACATATAGAAAATATGTAAGTGAAAATAACTCATCAGTTTCAATAGACAAAAGCGTCTCACATTTTTACAGATACTTTGTTACTTAAACTTCTGATAATACTTTTATCAAAGTAATGTTAAACCAGAATTTACAAAATCTCAGCTAAGATTATGAGTAGCCTAATCATGTGTTTTCAGCTTAGGGTGAATTTCTACTTCGACAAGTGGATGGGAAGTGATGAAGTTAACAAACCATATATCGGATGTTGGATTTGATAGAAGTATGAAAATATTCATACAGCATGTGTTCACATCTGGACCAGATTGAATACCCCTTGAAGCATATAATGAAATTTCCTATTATATATGTGTTGATTCTCTCACTTCATGCCCCAGGGGAAGCGGTATTACAACTAATTCAAATTGTGTTCTAATCCGTCATTCCCATTCAAATGATTCGGAATTCAGTCAGAATGAAGTACCTCTAAGATGAAACGTTGATTGTGACTTTCGCGATTTTTCTGAATGATTTCAGTATTGTCGAAATCTTTTTTATATCCAACAGACACTCATAGTCAACTATTTTGTATTCTCTAAGATAAAAAGTTATGGAAAATACAACAGGGTTTGCTTTAAAACATTTTGAGATATTATTGGGTTTAATAGTGAAGTTGTGCGTTTTTTCGTTTTAATTTCTGATTCTTTAGCAAAAACCGAACACGATCATTGTAAGTTTAATAAAATGGTGTAGATATTCATGAGGTTGATCTCACCATGAATTCAAATCGGTCAGGGGATAATTAATAGTTAATTGTCTTATCATCACTGTTATTAGTTTTCGGAGTTCATAGTTGGTGGCCATAGAGATTCAGCAGTAGAACTTAATTCTCCTCGGTTCTCTACAGTCACTTCCAACTGGCTTCACAACTGTCTCGCATGCATTCATTTCTTCTTCACATGATATTCTTCAAACCACTCTCTGACACACGCTCAACCGTTGATTCCGATTTTAGTACCGCTCCAGGGTCTGGTCTCTGGAACCACTTTTCAGTGTATATAGACTCCACCTTTATCTCCCTCTGAATAATTTTTGGGCAGCAAATACTTCACCAGGTCTCCGCTGCATTTCGGACATCTGATCGTCAGAATCCAGAGATAGTGGACGTTGATGAAAGTTTTCAGTAGCTTTTTCCAGATAAATACAATTACGTGAGAGCCACCCCTGTTAATCATAGAGAAGGGCTGAATTTCCTTTGGAAGTTAGCATTTCACTCTTGTTCGTTCTGCTATATGCTGCTGATTTCCACTCTGATTTCAGATTAATGATCGCCTGTTTCAGTTTCTTGGTCCAAACCGACATTGACGTCATCGTCCCTTCTATCGGCATTTGAGACAGCACTGAGCAGCTCTGGATTTAAAACTAATTTGTCGTACTAAGACACTCCAAAGTGCTACTCATTCGTAAAGATCTTTAGACTTGGATGAAACACCCGCCCTTAGATTCTAATGATTCATTCACTTGGCGTTGCTGCAAGACAAAGTTAAGTGGCACAGTGGTGTGATTTATGCTGTTTGAAAGTGCATTAGCGATGTATCTCTGATATTGGATGCATAGTGTGTAGTGCTCAAGTAAATAAGGTGACGGACAAAGATGGAGATCCACAGATACAGAATGGAAAAAGAAAACAGTCATAACATTGATGAAGAGAAAGCAGAAGAGTTGGAACAAGAGAATCCGGACTTAAACCTGCTTGATGCCAAGTTCTCTACGAACCTCTAATTAACAGGTATCAAATCTATCTGAAATGTCTGATTACGCCTCATTAACTACTTCCCGAATTCTCTAAAAGGAAATATGTTGGAGTGCTGAATTCAAAGTTGGTGACTTTAGGAATATCTCATTTGTAGCAGACTTTACCTCAAATTGGAAACATAAGGTAACTAGTACTCCGTTCACAGATGACATATTCTCTCGCTTGTTTATTACACCAGAAATTCCTACATATTGGTGCATCTTAAACAACAGTAGGTTGTTAACACAGAGTAGCAGAAGTGCATTCAAATAGACTACTGAAAGTTGTCCAATGTAGGTATGTATGTGTGTGTGTCAATTTCAACAGTTCTAGTTATTTACCTTCTAGCTGATGTCAATCTCGTCTTCTTTTGCAGTTGGATCTTCTAGTTGCTACTGCGTAGATACGGTTCATTTTATTGGTTATAGGGGAGATCTAATCCAACCGATTCCAATGATCCTGCAGTGATTTCAGAGATGATTTTCACATATGACAGGGAAATATTTATTGTGTATTTCATCTTCAGAGCTGTTTACATACATTCAGGTATCACATTTATCTCAATATCCTTAAAATGACAGAGCTCAACAGATATATTAATTTTCGAAATAACTTAAGGCGTAGAATTAATTCTACAAGCTAAACCAGATTTATTAGGTGTATTATCAAAGTATGTTCCATTCACCCGTGAAAAGGCGATTCTTCTCTCTCTCTCTCTGCATTCCCTGACTGCCTTTGTGTAAATAAAAATTAATTCACCATACGACATCGATATCTTCCTCTTTCCGGCACAGCCGACTGAAATATCAGCCGTAAGTTTATCCATTCCACATGGCTTAAATTTCTTCCCTCTTTTCGAAATCAAATAACACTATACTACTGACATAACATATAGTACAACCTAGTAGACTGAGTGCCGTGAGAAGCTAATCAGGTCACGAAAATTATCCCAATAGCTTATTTCAGCAGAGACAGTAAGAAAACTAACTACATAGGAAACAAGATAAGACGATGGGCTGTTGACCAAATGGGTTTTACTGTCTTAAACTACAGTCAAAACAGTTGACAACGACGCTAATTGCATATGCATCAGATGGATTGGAAAAAAAATATAGAATTCACTAATAAGTTTGAACACGTTGCAGCCACCGACATCTCAGCTCAAAGAAAGCGTGTGACATACAAAAAGTACCACAAGTGAGCAGTAGTCGTCTAATATAGTGAGTGATTTAGATGTTATGGTCTGATGTGGGACCGAAATTTCCTGAGGATTTTGGAATAGATAACAGTCATTTTTGTTCCATTTGCATTTTCATATTGTATTCGACCTCAAATTTTCCGCAACAAAATTCTGCCTAAATCCCAATTATTTCTCGGTCATAATTAGATTTCAGTTGTGATTAGTATACTTGTAGGAAAAATAAATCAAATGCTTTTCAAGCTAACTATCGGTAAAAGATAGCTAGTGCAGAAATTCTACTCTTGTTTTTTTATTCTTCAATTTCTGAGTGAAACGAAGAGCTTAAAGCTTTAAGTCTCAAATTCCTCACGTCGAACCTCCCCCTTCTTTTCAGTTTCACCAACGGCCAGTAAATAAAGCAATAGTAGTGGAGTCCATTGACTGGGAATTTAAGGCCAAATCAACTACGAGGCTGGCGAACATTGTGACATTGAACCACCGACGTTCAGTAACAAGGTGCTTTCAGTTAACGTAAAATTGTGTGCTTTATTGACATTTGTAATGGTTATTATATTGCATGCTGTGACACTCAGACTGTGATTCCAAACAGGGTGCTACACTTCCCTACAGCATCTTGCTCAAAGTGATGTTCAGAAACATAAGATGAAATTATCTGCTACATCAGCGCATTTCTCCATCACTACACTTGTGAGTAAACAGGGACCAGTTCTGTTCCAAATGAATAAGAGGTAAAGTCATCGATCAAATCAATAATGTCAATAAATGCATTGAATTTGCGTTCATTTGTTTGGATATTTTATTCGACGGATCATAACATATTCCAGCTTTATTTTTATCTTCTCAGGAAAGAGGGCACCCAAATGTACGTCAGTGTATATGCTATCAATTTTTTCGATGATATTTTTGATCCTTATTTCTAAGAGTTTTATGTAAAATGGTTTTGAAATAAAATTAACGGAAAATAACAGAATTAAATAACATAAAGTGTATTCACTGTGGTAAAACAATGTTAGCAATGGTTGATTTCTGCACTCATAACCTCGGTTTCAGCCGTTTATTGTCAGCTGCTTCAGAGATACATGGTAAACTGAAACTTCTCCGAATTCTGATTTTCTTGAATGATTTGGATGCACCAGTTTCATGTTAACTATCACATAAGCATGTCGGTATCGTGTGAGAGTCATAGGTGAGACCTACGGAAGATCAAAAAGGGAACTTTATTACAATGGGTTGAACCGGTTTTCACCTACAGCTCGTCCAGAACTATCATCCACGACAGAGAGTTTACTAGCTTTATGGTATTAAGAACTGATGTTCACCGACATTTGGGACACGACACAGTTCCTCCAGAAGCACTGAAAACGAATCCAGAGACCTCACCGGATATGTGCACCTCGTCAGTTCAAAAGATTTGGAAGGAAGGAATAGCATTTACTGATTAGAAGAAATGTTACCTTGTCAAACTAATAACGAAGTGTGACTCATGTCTTTACAAACAATGAAACGAAATCCTACACCTGTTCATGCCAGGAAAATGTTAACTCATGCCATCTTTCAGAGACTAAAAGATGTAATAGATGCGAGCCCTTGCTATGCGAAACAAGCTAGATTCAGTGAAAGCCAGTCATGGGCTGATCAAATTACAAATCTACGCATCAAAAGATAGAGCATTTTGGCTGCATAACTGTTCCACATGTCAAGTGATTCCCGCTGGTAAAATCAGCGAAGACATTCAAATGAATACAGGAGTAACAGACAGCTGATTACAATCACTGAGTGTATGCTGGATTTTGGTGAAGGGGATAGTGAGAAAGACCGTCAGTAGCGGCGAGACTGAAACAAATTGAACTGACAAGGAGACTGTAGAAGATGCGAATTTTGTGAACGATCTATTTCAAATGTCACGCAAAGTCGTCGATATACAGACGAGAATCAATGACCTGGTGGACGAAGCCGCGAAGATTCAACTTCAGATGGTCATGGGAAAATGCAGAGACGATGAAGGTAATGAACTAACATTAGTGGACACCAGTCACTATCAACGAGAGAAATTTCAGGGGAGGTACTAGAGGTAACAGGCATGAGCGTGTCAAAAGCAACACCGAAAAAGCACGACAGACGTCCTTTAATATGAAATCAGTTTAGGAATCTACAGTAATTGACACCAAGAAAGCGCATCGGATTTTTAACAATAATGTGAGAGCAGTGCTTCTATACAGTTCGGAGATTTGGCGTGCTGAAAAAAGACCATTCAACAGGCTTCAAAATTTTACAGTCAGCCGCCTTCGCCCCATCCTAAGGATCAGATGGCCAGGAAGAGTAGGCATCGAATAACTCCGGCAACAAACTAACCAGAAATTTGTTGCCCAAAACATTTGCGAAGAAAATGCAAATGGATCGAACACACATTAAGGAAAGTTGACTGACATCACCAATCGAACCCACAAGCTGAACACGAATTTGAAGGAACAAGTTGATTGTCTGAAGGTAACTTGGAGGAGGTCATATGAGAAGATGAGAATCTGTGGACAATCATGAAGCAAGATTAGGAGGACTTCAGAGATAAGGATGAAATAGAGATGCACTGTTGAAGTCGTAAAGGGAATACTGACGATAATTAGTAAATCTAAAAAGTGAAGTATAGTACCAAATATGTACACACAAATCATTCAGTTGAATAAACAGACTGTTAAATACATACATTAAATACATAAACTACATCATTTTTCCACTTTAGTATCAATTATCTCAGAAACCTGTAAGTGAATATAAATTTACCTTCTGTTTGAAGATTACAAGAATTCTAACTTTGCAATTACTCCAAACACTCTAGTATTAATCAAAAGCCTGATCTTATAATATTTCCACATGAAGTTGGGTTATTCAGCTGTAATACAATCTTCGAGAAATGCAAACGAAGCAAGTATTACTGGACTGACGGAATAAATGATCTGGCCTCCGTTCTGCTTTGTGCCTTCATCAGCTGAACATACTTATTTCCGCTTGAATGATAGTTCTGTTATTGAAACTTCAAATCAGCACACACTGTTTCAATTAGCAATGTCCATATTAGAAAAATGTCTACAAAGCGCTCTAAACTTAGAACATCATTTCAAGAGGATTACTGACAATACCCATACCTCATTTCACATGTATTAAGGTAAACGCTGGTCACCTCATGGAAAGGGATGGAAATGAAAGATTCAAGACTGTTGTAGTAAACAAGCATTGAAAAAGACGTTTTCATATGTAGAGTTTAGCGTTATCCCTGTGTGAACAAAAGATGCCGCCGTAAATCCTCCCAATGTCTTTGTCTTACTTTATGTATCATTTCGAAAGATCCTTTTACTAATGCAGAATGATGCATGAGAACAAACTGCTCTAGAAGTGAGCAATTTCAGTGCGTATTTGTGGATTCAAGCTTTCAGGTGTCCTTAACGTGTGTGCTGTATTTACACAATCAGTCTGGTTATTAGCCTCAGGCATAACTTTGCAAATTTCCTATGCAGGCGGTGTAGGAGGTTGTTGAAAGCAGATCGAAACGTTGATCGCGTTTAAGGTTCGCGGACGTTATACCAATCAACTGTCGTCGAATCACACTGATCCATCTAATTTCTCCATATGGAAACCACTTTAAGACATGTTGTCTTGCATGTTCTCAAGTTCTACAGGTGCGAGGGAATTTCCCTATGCATATATACATTGATAACTGAAATTCTGAGATTCTTTTTATTACTCACTGGTAATTTGTAAATCTTATCCTTTCTATTTTGCTGAAAATGCAAACAAAATTAGCCAAACACTTCAGAAATTGTTGTAAGTGAAAAAAATTGATTGATTCCAATCTTTATGATGAATTGAACATTTTAGGATCAATGTTAACTTTAGGCCCTAACGGACTACTAATGCATCAATGACCATGAAATGCTCATCTGAAACGTTAGTGGAACCAGGTGAATATCACTATGTTCATGAAGAAAACACAAGATGAATTGTTCTCGTGCAAAAAGGGGTAGCTGGCTACCACTAGACTAAGTTAATCATAGAGTTAACTCAGCCTGATTGCAGAGATTATGTCGTTGTTTGAAAGTAGTTTAGTAATGGGTTGGAGATAAGTTAGGATAAGCGTTCGAGTAATAGATGGATTTTAGTTATGTTGAGCAGAGATTAGGCTTAAGGTTAGATGACCGAATTTACTTCTCAGCCTTATATTGGTTCTCTCCGGGATCATTGATGAGGTCGTGCAACTTTGGTGCGTAAATTTTAACTTTCTCCATACGAGACTCAAACATCTAACTGACTTGCTTAGCTGTTGACACTGATGCTTCAATTTGAATGAGATAAACACATTTAAGGAGCAATGTTCAGCATACACTTCGTCATCTAATCGGTTTTTGTTTTATATATTTATAGCCCAACAGCTGAGCTGGAGGCACAGAACCCTGAGTAAGTGATAAGCATATCACCAGTTACTTTGATTCTTACATTTTATCCAGCTTTTATTATCTGATTCTAATGAATGAAACTATACGATATTAAAGGCGAAGAAGTGGCTGTGCGTAGTGATGAGTAAATGGAAGAAGTATGTTTTACGTTTCATCAACCAAAAATCTTACAGGCGAAAACCAAAATGTCTGGAGAAGAGGTAAGCAGCGAAGTCAGGTTTTCAAGTGAACACAGAAGAGACCGAGGTGATAAAGATGTCTAACTAGCACTGATTAGCATCACTTAAGATCAGCAGGTGTAATCTTTTACTCATCTAGGCAGCAACGTTTCAACTACTACAGGTGGCATCACGGATTAATATGTGAGAGCCAGTAGCGACTGGAAAAGCAAGACAGACATTCACGAGTTTGAAAACAACATGGAAATTTGCCGCTTTAGGCATAAGGAAGAGGATCCAGATCATCAACCCTAATATCAGTTAAATGCGTGTGTATGACTCATACACTTCGACGACGCATAACGACTAAGATTTTTTGGTGAATAGTAGTGAAATCCATCAACCAAAACAACTTGACCATAATCCTAAGACATCATTGAAGCATCTTCACTAAGTGCCAGCACGCCAACAGACGTCGAACATTTCGGTCCAACATAAACTACCAATGAGGGATTCGGATTAACCTTAAAGTGGATAATAACCGATAATCACTCCACAAAAGGTGGTTCTCGCTGCCCAATAGATAAGAAGCACCTTGGCGTTTCAAACCATAAGTGCAGGTTCCACGTATCACCGGGATCCACATCACTCACTGTGGCTGCGGGTATATCAAGCTGATGAGTCTCAAATAGGAGAGGATACGTGTCCAAAATAACTTTATAGAAACATTCATTGTTCTACACAGAACTCAAGATACACTTGTCTCAGGAATAAAAACAGAGTATATCCTAACAACAGGTTTGAACGCAATAAATTATTGATGGTAATATTACTCACTTTAGAAATGAATAGAAGAAATTCAAGTAATAAATGGAAAGAATTGTTTCTACAAAACCACAATCGATACCTGTCCGGTAACTACCACCACACCCCACGTTGGTGTTCAACTCCTCCAGATATCGAAATCAGAGGAAGGTCTCATAAATAATCCATTCTACTGTGTTAGGCTTGTTACTTGCTGTTGACGTGCGTTAACCTGTGTATGTCTCTCATTAGATCAGACGTATCAGAATACTGTATAACCTAGGTGAAATTAACAAGACCGTTTGTTCTACAAACATAATATACGAATCATTATTTCTACTGCAGCCAAATATGTGCCAGAACTCGGTATGTTCTCAATCCGTATTTTTTTAATTTTCCGATTGAACGAATAGTCGAAATGAATAATCTATTTTATCACATAAACATTCCGTAATTGTCGTCCTTCCAAAATTTATCTAAATTTATCTGTGTATTAAATTTCACAACTCGATGATGGATTGATCATTATTCTAACTATTCTGTCAATGAGTATATGTACTTCCAAATTGATTTCGGTCTGAGAACTAGATGAAGTAGGGAGATAATTTAAATATGATAGAGATTTGTAGCTCAGGTGGATGATTTCGATGTGGTTGTGTTCTCTGAGCTGAAAAGTTAATTTGCGAAGCTTTCATCAACCTAATTGGCAACATCTTCAGCGCATACTTTAATTTGAAGTGAGCTTTTAGATTTCTCCATGGGTTTATTAATCATCTCTCCTGGTGACTTTGGACGTGATTAGTTGTTTTTGTGTGTTTTCACACCATCTAGGCAGCTACTTGTATTGGAACTGATTGTTTTTTTGACTTCAACTTTGACCCTTTGTGTGTGAAGTTTCTTTCTTATCGGTTGATAAATTTTGTCTATCTCGATGTGTCTATTGATTGATGATTCACTGGAATGCCAAGCTTCTAAAAATCCTGTAGCATTCTTGTTGTTTCTTCTGTCTAATATTTGAACGTTGTCCTAGTCGAAATGATGTCCGTGGTTGCCTGTATATAGTAGTGATATGAGGGAGTGGATATCATGTCTTTTGACGGCTAGCTTATGTTTGTGGATACGAAGACGAAGGGGATGTCCACTTTGGCAGTTGTTACAATTTATTTTGTAGATGATGTTGGTTTTATCTTCTTCCGCTGTTGAGTCTTTTGGTTGACATAGAACTGAGTGAAGTTACTTTGTTGGTTTGTGTACGACGTCAATTCCTAAAGGTTTGAAGAGTTTTGTAGTGATTTCTGAGATATCCTATATATATATATGTTAAGGCGTGTTTCTTTGTGCTTTCCTTGGAGAAGTGATCTAAAGCTGTTAATTCTTAGATTGGGATATTTTATGTATTTATTTTCTATTGGAATATTGTATTTTTTACAATATGAACGGATAGTGATTTGTTGTATTGCCTTTTTCATCTAAGCCACTTCCATCGTCTGATTTCATCGCTGATATCATTGGTATCTGATATCATTACCAATAATTATTGATAGATACTTAACATCTTTCTCGTCTCAACTTCATAATGAACACTAAAATTATGATGCAGTGACCAAATCTATATCTGTAGGGTTTCGAGAAGAACACTTTTGCAAACTGAATCCACTACTATTCAATATTTTTATTGACTTTGACTTCGAAATCCTAAAGTCCTGGGGAGAAGTTATAACTTGGTGAAATTTTCGGAAATCACTGTGAAGAGAACTAGAGTAAATGGAAATTGTATCATAGCACGAACTTGCAGAAACTGCAAATCATTCGACATTAGATTCTACAAAGTCTACTACTCTCACTTAAGTTACTCATGGGTATTCTGAGTAAAACAAATGTGTTGTCTCGCAGTGAGACAAACATGATCAACTTTATTCGATTTTCAATAGTTCAGTAAATGTTCTTCTAACATTTTCCTATTTAAAAACAGTATCAAATACTTTCAAAACCCTCTGATATTCTCTGCTCATGTGAAGAATGTCAGAAATGCTGCTCATATCTACCAACTTGCAGATATCAAAAATATTTTGTGAAATTCAGCAAACAATGCGATGAGATTTTCTTGACTTCGGTGCCATCCCTACTGATCTAGCCAATAGATCTCCCCTGATTTTGGTGTATTTCTGTTCTCTGGCCTGGATGGTTCATTTGCGAAGGTTGCATCGCCCGACTAGGCAACATCTTCAGTTTACAGTCAAGGTGAAGTATGCCCTGAAGATGTTGTCTAGTAGGGCAATGAACCATCCAGCTCAGAGAACACAAATACATCGAAATCATCCAGCTGAGCTACAAATCTTCACTATTATGATAAATCTGTACACTGTATACGTATTTTAGTTATCCTAAGTGTTTTTTCCGGTGTCTGATGATGCCGAATAATCATTGGTCACTATTTTTTCTATTCGCCTCTTCCCGTTTTCTTTATTCTAGATGCGCCTGCCTCGTTAGAATGTAAGATGATGTTGTGTGTTTTCTTCAATCAAGTAGTGAGACAGAGAGAGCTTAATCAAATTCACAATTCACAAATTCATTAACCATTTCACTACTTACAAAGTTTGATGTGAAATTTGATCACAGTTTTTATTCGAAACGAAATTATACTTCGCGCAACTACTCATCACAGTCAGTAAAGTAGTATACGACACACACCCGCAATTATGCTTGTTCCCTTTATTTCCAATTTATGGCATCAAACATGCAGTATAATGTGATCTAAACAATTTCAGTTCGTGAAGGAAACTGTAGTAAAATTTCACTTCCATGTGTGCTAATCGCAAGTCACAAATCGATTTGTAAATCACTAATCTGATTCAATGTGTTGCCTGTTCACCCATGTGGCCAATCAGAATTCAGACGGTAATAATTGATTAGTCTCTCTCAGATAACCTAAAAGAGGAGGACCACTGATGAACGAGCGAGAATCCCGTGAGGTTCTTAATTCACTTCTGTCCTGCTAGCAATTACTAATGGTCTGTCAGAATGGTATCCAGCAACTCATAACAATCAGTCAGTAGTCTACAGCGCCAAGTATAAAATACTTTAAACTGTGACATTTATCGACGTATCGTACGGATAAACTAAAGATAAATTAGGAGAAATTCTTAGTTATTCAACTTTGGCTTACTTAAATTTCATTTGGAGAAACATTCACAAAGTTGTAATCGTCATATCTCACTGGTCTACTCTGAATAGATATAAAAAGTTGATGAAATTGTAAGTATCTTTTGATAAGTTCATTAGACTTTATGACTACGTATTTGATGTACATTTTTAAAATCATTTGACTGACAGTGAGGGATTTCTTTAAATGCCAAACTTCTGTACCTAATTCCATAGGTTACACAGAGAATATATGTATACGAAATCGGTCGTCTCCGTAAAAAGTCTCTCAGTCAGCGCGAACTATATCATCGGCCTGATGGAACTATAAGGCAGAAGACGTTAATCTACAGTAACGTGGAATTATGTAGCCTTGTGTCTCTCCATCTTCCCCGTCAACTAACGATGTATGTATACCAATAGGGGAAGGCATGGTGGAAACAGGAATACAACGATATACGCATTAATTAAATATACCTGATACATAATGTATGGTTCTGAATTCATAAAAGACGAATCACTAAATTTTCGGTATGGATACACAACATCAAATTCAATCAAATTAATATAAGAAATTCCAGAAAGTATACTACAGATATCAGGAATAATAAAATATGCGAGTACATATTCACTCGAAGGCAAAGGTTGATCCAGTATGCACAAACTAGTAATTTCAATACTTCCTCTCAAGTGTGTCTTATCCAATCTGGTCACTGATTCCCTTTGAAGAAGGAGAAACAGAAGCTGCTGCTTTACAAAGTCTTGATATGCGCAGTAAATATTTGAGAATGCAGAAATTTAAAGACAAACAGTACTGTATCCTTTTGCTCTGTTTTCATGCACTTTCCCATTTCATGCACTTCATTTCCTACTTTCAGAGTTGAACCTATAGAAGCTTAGGTTGTGATGGTGTATCCAGTCCTATGTGGAACCTTTATTCATTGTTGACCTAATACCGGCTAGTCGAAATTTAAGAGTCCATCAGCAGAGCATGGACACCTGACCATATAAGTGACTGACGAACATCTGTCTGTCTGTCTGGATTCAACATAGAACTTGGCACCGAAGTGCAGCAGTTCGAGTTGCCACGTTCTAAATAGCACACAGAGGTAGACAAGAAGATGAGTGAAGAGAATCAAACTGACGAACATTCTATAACTGAACCAGTCTACAGTTATACACAAAAAATGTAATCCTCAGCTTTCTTTTAAGAAGCTATCCTCCTTGCTCATATCTTAGGCTTCTGTAAAACATATTTCGTCAAAGAAAATGTTGACAAGAGGAGATATTCATGACGATTCACTGTTAGATGGAAACATATCTCCGGTACATGTTATATTACTTCCATATTATGCGAATGGCAGAAATAGTATGCAAATGTCAGTTTGTTCAAATTCACAGTCTAACTAACAAACATATTCTGCTGCTGTTACTTCTGTAATGTGTTACTTATAGATAACTGTGTCTACTAACAGATGTTTCTTCCATTCTGCAACTCTTTATCAGTGTGCACAAACGACTCGATTGGGGATCGAACATACTGCTTCTCAACCACAAATCAGTCCACTGACTATTTAGCCGCCTGAAGATAATCCAATGACCAGTACATTCTCATCTAGTCTCTTATGGTTTACACCCTTGTGAACTGATTGTATCTTCTGTAAAATACTCATCAATATTTATCGTATTATTGCTAAACAATTGACTGACCAATTATAAAAGCGAAATAAGACTGTTTATGTGAAACTATTTTCATTTCGATTGTAGAAATCAACATTTAAGACATTTGTAAGTTGTTATAACTGCTGAAATATGGTTTATTTTGTAAATAGTGTACAATTACATCCTATTTCTTGTCATTTAACTAGTTTGATAAGTGAAGCGAGAGAAATGCAACACACCAGATCACTAAGCATATACAGAACATGAAACTAAACAATAAGAAACAAAGAGTTATTCGAATGATTTCACCATGAGGTGACATCGGTTAGACAAGCATTGGAAAACGCGGGATTCCTCGACAGCTGTATGGCTCTCGTGCAGGACTCTCTGCAGTGCACACCCAGGACCTTCCGGTTACAAGGCTGGCGACTTCGTAGACCATAAAGCCACTGGAAGCCATCGGTTATAGCTTCTGCCAATTCAAAACATAGAGCAATCAATCACCCATGTCTTCTTCGATAAATAACTGCCCTCACCTTTGACCTGCTTGATCCTGATTATCGCAGCTTCCCACTAGAACCCCAAGTAAACAAAATAACCTCAATGATGTAAAGCAGACTAGACGTGTTATCAAAAACAAGGCTACTGCTGTCTGGGTTTAATTATGACAACAGAATTTAACGTAGATTGATATGACCAGCACTCATAATCATGTCACAGCTGAGGTTCGATTTAGTAAAGCAGTGTGTATATCATCTGAAGAGCAATCACCAAAACTAGTTCTTAGTTACTCTTATCTTCACAGAATAAAAATAAAATTAGGGCAGAACACAGAAATCTCCGTGCCGATGAGAACGAATAATTTTCCATGCGAAAATGCATAATCCACAAATATTATTTACCACCAAATGATAAGCTAATAATTTCAGGTTTCATAGTTCGCTAATCTCAGTATAATAAATTCTTATTTGACCCTAAGATTAAGATTTGTTCAGAATGCTTTCAGCATGTTTCAGCTGGTTTTAAGATTAGTTGACTTTAAGGTAAATAAACGGAAGGGTCTCCAATTTCATTTCAGAATGTAATCGATCAGGGTTAGACTCTAGATGTCATACTGTTTCTGACAAAACTTACTGATCTTTTCTTCAGCAAGATACTTCATATTTCTTAATGTATGGAAGATGACTCATATTCGTTCCTCTACTTCCCTATTCAATGCGCAAGTTATTGACTTGAATAGAAAATTAGGCACTGTGATGACATGCATAAATTGAAGAAAGGGAAAACAAATGAATTCATTCATTCACGTATGCATCAAATGGATGACCAGTAATGAGGTGTCCTGGACTGTCGTTGACAATCGCAATTTAGATAGTCAGCTGGTATCATGAACCCTCAGTCGGCGACAACTTCTCAGTGATGGTGGCGACATTGTCCCATATGGTATATGAATGATGTGACCAAGTGGATAAATGCATGGGTCAAACGATGCTGAACGCGACGGACGCCACAACTGCTTTCCGAATACAACTAACATCAAACCCACCCCCTCACCCCACCAAATACTTGATCGTTCACAAAGACACGAAAACATCAGAAGACTAGGACTAGCATGCAATTGCAGGGGTGAATTTATTTGACAGAAATTCATCGGGTAATTGGATTATATAAAAAAAGGGGAGGACAATCGTGAATTGATTCACTGCAAATAAATGCTATTTCACTCTCCCACTCTCTCGTAGCTTCTGTTATGTTGATTGATATACGTACATTATTATGTCGGCTGAGTGAGCAAAAATACACTTTTATCCTCCCTAAATAGTACCGATATATTTGAACTACACTGAAATAATGTTTCTTCACTAACACAATAAAAATCAGTTCTGAAGGAACCTTAATTTTCTGTGAAAGTGACCAGATACTAGTCTTATGTTGGCTTCTTTAGCATAACCCCGAAAAGGTGATTATATATACCAAATTATGATGTGATTTACTTTTGTTTTTGTTAGATGGAACACAGGATTAAAAGTGTAAGAATTGATTGTTGATTCTGTAAACAATAACGTTTCTCCTGTTTTGCATTACACCTGAATTCTAATTTTCAGAACATTACACTCAAACGAAATCAGAATAATCAGGAACTCACTGTGTTCATATACAGGTGTGTGTACGGTTATTACTTCCTACATAGGAGCAGCTGATTACTTCTTTGGGTACCTGGAACAGAATTAGCAATAATGTTGTGTAATCGCAGAGTCCTAGAGAGAGCTTGTTAAGGTAGGTCGCACACAGCATGTTTGCATTGGCTTTTCCAACTGTGTGCGTATGAAGATCTTACTACAAGCTATGTTCTGTTGGTAGTAAGTTTGGATGAACAATTTTCTGGACTGAGTTTTCTTAACCCGCCACCTCCAAACCTGAAATGATGTATGTTTAGCTTTTGGACACAGAAAGTAAGCACTTCAATGCTGTTAAACTCCTATTCATCAGTAGTACGAAATCTCCAACATAGTGTAAACAACTCACACCATGATGGTAACTGCTTCCAGTCTAGCTGCTACTCAGGAAACTTACTAGCGTGGTAGAACACCCAGGTACATCAGTGCCAGACAGTGGAGCCTGCTGGGTCATCTGGATATGGAAAGCCGACCACCTGTTGAAGGTAACAGCTATTAGTTTTCTCTTCATTGTCAGCGTTGTTGTCGTTGGATCAATCACCATCTAAACGAAAACCCAAGGTTGCATCTGCGTCAACTTGTACTTCATTATTCAGTTTAATAAGCAGTAGACTTCTTGCCACGTTTTTGGTATTTTGTGGTTTCTGCATTAAAGACAGTGTTTTTCTACACATTGGACACCAGTGGTACTCAACCTCTTGAAAAACCCGGTCGGTTCTATCTGCTTTAAGTGAGTGCTCATGAGACGGTGATTCAGAAATATTGGTATATTCCAGTCTGTAGAAAGCCTTCTCTTGTAAGCACTTCAATCCAGACTTGAAGCAGCTTGTATGCATTCCTCAGATTTTGACTTTTGACTCCTTCAATGCAAGAATGACGTATCACTGACCAAATATTTTGCTTTTTGACTGATTGATGTCAGATTTATCAGCTGAAAGCTACAGATCAAGTAACTTGTGAGGTCAGTATGATAACTGACAGGACACTGTGATGCACTTTTGTTCGTTCCTACAAGTTGGACATGCATTCACACATTTAAACCTTTTGGTTTTTATTGAGATTACGATTGTATCTGTTGATCAAAGCTTGAATTACATGACGAAACATTTAGTTGTCTTTGTAGAAAATGGAGATTCCATCCAAGAAGAACTTATGCTAAACGTTTGCTAACACTTTGTATCCTGAAGTCCAATAAATTTAAAACAATTTGAATTGGATTATCTAAAGATTAAATAACTTTCTTTATGACTAATTATTACAGACTTATAGAGTGAAGGTTGGTTCACACTTATCGATCTGCATAATTTAAAATTTTGTTAATCTTATGTGTTTTTATTTCAACATATAAACTGTTTGTTTCCCCATTCACATTCACATCATCCGACTGAGAAATGAACTCAGAAACGTCTTCAACACTGTCATTTACCACTTGTTAGTGAAATGGTTGCGAGAATCCAGTTAAACACTTTACCACTGTATGGAAGGCGGAATTGTACAAGTCTTAAACAGGGTTGAGTGAGAGTCTTGGTATTTGTGACTTTTGAAGACCATACAGTCATGATGCGTAACTGTCAGTGGATCTAAAATAGTTATGGGAAGTCTGAGAAATCACTCATTTTGCCATCACTTCCATCAGATTGTTTTTCAGTTAACTTTCGGTATTCACTATTGAAATTTCTTGATTTTTAAATATTTTGTCCTGTGATCTGCATTTATCTATCAACATAACTTCCACCTCTTCATATACCCTGCTTATTGTTATACCTTCATTATTTGTTAACGTGTTCAGAGATACTCAGTGTTGTTCAGTCAACAGGCGTTTGTTAGAATAACTGCTGCCTTAATACGTTTGACAGCTGTCGACTAGTATAGTTGTAAACCTAGTGAATTCATCATCAGACGACGGAATCAACTCGTATGTTTGCAAAACTTCATTTTGCAATCTCGATATTGGTTTCCAGAAAAGTTGGTCACAAAATTCATAATCCGGTAATAATATCTCTGGCTAAAATGTATCTATTGTAACGCTGGAACCCTTTCATCTTACATTACATTGATGGAAAACATCACAAAGTGATGTTGATCTCTTATCTACAGCTTGATTAGCTGTTTTAACCCGGTTAATAAGCAACGAGGTATTCCTAATCTAAATTTGCAGGGGATTCGCTAGTTTCAGGATAAGCTTCGAGACTTATCACTGTAATTAATTGGATAAATAAGGGGGCTTCACAAAATCGAAATGGAACAGGCGATTCCACTGATCCCTATCAACATCTGTTCTTCCTCAAATATCTTCTTCTTTAGTGGACCACAGAAATATCAGAATACAAAGATTTATCTGTGACTGTCAGAATCAATTTATTACACAAAAATTCATCATATATTCATAATCCAAAAACACATAAAATTATCCCACTTCAATGATTAAATAACTTGAATCGATTGATTGTTCTAGATCAGATGTTTGCTGTCGCGTAGCCTTTTCATGTATACTTAGCGACACACATCCTAAAGTGAAACATCAAATCTCCTACCTCAATAGTCAGGCAATGGCTTAAAATGTCAATCGTCATTTTAAACTCTCCCTACCTCAAGTCGACATCTTATAAACATGAGCTTTCAAAAAGATGGTTCATGAACAATTATTTGAAGTGCCGACACAAAACTGCAGGCATAAATACTTATTACAAGGTGCATTTATGTGCAAGTGAACTTATTTTCTCTCCGACTCCCAGTGTATTTATTGTAAATAGACCAGGCTACGATTCAGATGTCAAATCGAAACCGCGAACAGATCATCCAAAATAAGAAATATATCTCGTGATCAGAAATGTACACTGATGATGTGCGCTTGTTACGTTCGGCCTATTTATGAGATTAACACAATCTTAGAAATCTACTCCATCTATTCAAAATAATCTGGTTTCTTTTTAGGTTCACGTGTTCCTATGGAGCCAGTTATTCTGTACGTACAAACAGTGTACTTTGCAAATACATTAAAGATGCGTCTCCTCCTGAATTAATTTGAAAAAGCGAAATTTCACCAGAGATTCTTGTTAAAAAAAAAACCGAAAATTCCCCAAAGCATAATTCGTGTGTTTGGACAGAGATGGAACCTAATGATCAGTCGGTGTTACTCATGAAATCTACAGAATGAACACTTGAACCTTAATCTAGATTGAAATCCATGTCATTGAATTGCTAACCAGTCGCAGTACGTCTTTTAACAATTAAACTTGTAAGTTGACGTTAATTTAGAATAATTGTAGTTAACAATCAAGCATTGTCCACCCAATTTAGTGGGTTGCATCCACAAGGTGGTAAACATCCTCCAGCATTTATTCATCCATACTGTTTTTGTGACATAAATTTGACATGTTTTAATGTCAAATGACTACGGTGAGGCATCTGACTTACAATCACAATTCTATATTTTGAGTTAACTATTTGAGTGATTCAGTGGAGTAACTAACATATAACTAAATTAGACTTGTTTTTCTTTAAACATTTCAGAATGAAGCAGTCAATATATTATGCAATAATTATGCAACAAATATACTGATGATTAACTCCCTTTTGTGGTTGTTCTTCTGCATTGGGGTAAACTACAATTCTCCTTTCAGTCACTTATTTGCTGACAAGTGTTGTTTCAGTGGCATGTCATCATTCGGATGTGGTCGAGTAGGTATCGTTTCTCACTGAAAATTCCAGTACATGCTGCAAGTAACGTGAGTAGCATTTTCTTTATTCTGCTCAAACATGGATTCCACATCTAAAAATCTCCGAGAAGAGAAAAGGAATTCGTCCGCCAACGTCCCTTTCTGTTGAAGATAGTATGTGAACACCGTACGTATCAGCTGATATTGAACGAGAGCTAATTACCACCTCATACCATAACGTTTTTTGATGGTGGAAACAGACAACCCACACACTAACCATAGTAGGATGAAACAAATTCGCTGGCATCCAGCCTTATTTGATGAAAGGATATGGTGGCTGTCAGAGAAGTTTTAGACTACAGCCTAACATAATTCGATTGTATCTACCGACTTTAACAAGCTTAAATGTATTAACTTAAACACCAGTGTCAAGTATTAACCTCACTAATTTATATGAAGAGGAGAGGAATAGTAATAGTAATTAGAAACTCACTGCAGGATGCGAAAATATGACAAGAGTTTTAACAAAAGATTAGAAAAATAGTTTCGCTGCTTAGAATGAATAACCTGAATCCCACCCTTGTTGAAGAATGTCTACTGTCACCACTCAAGACTGGATTTTACAGACAAATATTGCTTACTAAGGAAGGAAACAATCCTAACAGGCTATGACACCTTATAGGCGCATGGACTAGAGGCGTAGGATTTACTCATTGTCATTCATCATTTACCAATTGACGATAGTTAATACAAAGCTTTCTAACAGGCAATGGGACGGTAAATGAGGTTTTATTAATAGAATTGACTGAGAGTCTCTGTCACAGGAATGATTCTATACCTGTCTCTGACGTCTTGACACATACTGCTACCGTGGATACAAATAGGGCGGAAGAATGAGAAATAAACAACTTGGGCTTTTAAGGTTTTTGGTTACTATTGGTATGATTATAAACAATAAATCTGTTTGTAACTTTGACCAGTAAAGAAACTGTCTCACTGTGTGATATTTCTGACAAGCAATTTAGTACTCAAGTATATAGTGCTGTGGAAGTAAATTACTCGAGTGCAGTGTTCTTCATCCAACATTTAATCCAAACTCCACTGTCGACTTATCACACTGAAGTTGCGTAATAAAACGCCCATTTCATACTGCTGTGTTACATACGTTCGCTTATGCATGATCTCTAGCTAGCTAGGCAGTCATTATTGAAATAACATTCTGATCTCCAAGTATACCTCATGATTTGGACGATTAATTTGGTGTGTCTGATTTGTCTTTGGTCTTAGCAGAATAAGTGCTATAGAATTCGGAGGATAAGAGCCTGTCTTTGTAAAAAGTGGACTTTACACAAACGCCAACATCCCTTCATTTCCCAGACTAGTGAGCCGCTAGACTAACTTCATCTAGACTGGAGAACACTCAATCTTGAATCTATTTCGGCGAATCCGTTCCACTGTGTATTCGTTTATTTGTTGTATTAGCTGTATTTAAACAAATTCCTCTCACTTCACATGACCAGACTTCCTAGCTTGTATTCATTTCGCCGATTAACTTTTCCATTCACCTAGTGCTCCTTTGTCCAAACAATACTCAACCAGCACTTTCAAAGAGAAACGATGTTAAGCACTAGCAACGTCCTGAAACTTTCGCTCAGAGTCGAATGGGAATGCGGTTCGTCCGAACATGTGCTGTCACTGAAATTCACTAGACCAGTTAACTAGCTTCGACTAGTGTCTTTGGAACGACAGAGTTATGCAACTCTGCTTCTTAGGTCAATTAGCCCCTCAATTTCGCACAGCCGACGATATAATTCATTTCAATATGCCACCTAACGTGGTTGTTCGATGTGTGAACTAATTTCACCTGGGAATCTGAAGTGCAATCGGTACCCATTTCTAGAAACCTAGGTGTCATGGATAACTCTGCAGTTTTAGGAAAAAATTCAAAGACTATGGGAAACTAACACACTAGCACATTTAAGCGGTGATTGCAGTGTGTGGCAACAGCTACCTTCTCTTTATTCCAGATGTGGTTAGTGAAGCCCGATACTTGTTAAGCACAAGTGCAGAAGTCACAGTCCTTCCTGTCACTGAGGCAGATCACCAATAGGCCCCTACTTTCGAATTACAGACTGCATATGGGAAGCCTGTCTTAGCTTTCAGGAAGACACATGTCTGCCTGAACATAAGTTTATGCAAATCTATTTAGTGAATATTTATTAGTAATGTCACTATGTTCATCTTAGGTGTCGACCAACTTACTTGGAGATACCAGCCGACGATGTCTGACAGATGTTAACATTCGACTGTTCATTAAAGGAATCTATGATTAACAAGAAGGCAGTGGTCAACTGAACTTCTCAGCCGATCCTTGGCGAGTATCGGGAGGCTAACTTCCAAACAAAAAATTTCCCGCGTATAACAGGCAGTGTTACGCTTCCCATCACAACCTCACGAAAACCCGTTACCAGCAAGGTAGGATGACTAGAGAAGAATAATTCAACCATATGCCCACTCTTGGTATTATGCGACAGTCGAATAACCCATAGGCGTTCCCACTTCCTATAGTGCCAAACATATAGCAACGACTGTTGATCCATGCGTTATTACCAAAGATTAAATACCAAAACTAGATCAGACGACTCTTCGCCGCCTCATATACATTTCTCGAAGGTAGCGTTTTACAGGCGACTACTTTCTCGGAAATAAACTAGTAAAAGAGTACAACCAAATTTCTTTG